GGAGTAGCTTTGTATTTTGGAGTCTTGGACTGGGACTGGATGCATGCATATGGAGAATCGATGCTTTGTCTTCAGTTGTTGCTTGATGGCTGATTTGAGCTGATGTTGCTTGACGTACGGCTTTGGATGGAGGACAGAGAGGAGAAGCAAGAGCCAGGCGCACAGGAGGATTTTACATTGGGTTTGCACTTGTGACCGAGATGACACTACTAATTAAAAAAGGCATATATAAGTAGGCACCATTTGCACCACTAGCAGAGCAGGTGGCATGTGGTCGGCTGGCTGTCCGCAATTCCGCACCGATGGGGCATGGCTACGCCATGCACTACCTACCAATGTGATGACCATCATGCATGCATATACTCAGTTTGTTGATGATAAAGCAAAGAAACACACATCAACAGTAATTTGGATGCTCTAAGTCCAAGGTATATAAGAGTGGCTACAACTAAAAGATTTTTTCACTACATACTTTCGGAATGCAGCATACTCTTTTTGCGTTTTACGTCTATTCTGAAACAAATATAGTTTCTTTTTCTTCTGTATCATGCTCATTTTTTTACTCAGATTTACTGGGATTTATGGGAATAAGTGAATGCATGTCAGTTTGATTAGTTTACAAATCAAGGTATTGTTCAGAATGAATTCCTTTTTTTACTGCTCTAAATAAGTGGATGCATGTAAGTTTGATTAGTTTACAAATCAAGGTATTGTTTAGAATGAATTCATTTTTTTAATGGTCTATTTCTCTCGAGCTAGTCGTTCCACCATAGGAAGCACGCACACCATGATCCCTGCACTCTAAGATCAATACTTCCTCTCACCGAAAATGTAGCTAGTACCAGATATCATATTACCTAGGACTACGAATCTGGATAGGTACTAGGTAATGTGACATCTTATATTAGGTAGCTATATTTTAGGATGGAGGTAGTATAAAATTAAACACATGAAAGCACGCACACCATGGGTCCTAGATTCCATAAACACAAATGCATGCCCCATATAATTTCAGGATCAGCATCGGATTATAAGAAAACTGACATACATTTATTTCTGCAACTCACTGCATTTTTCATCCTTTCTTTAACACAAAATTTCTAGAATCAGAGTTACTAGTGGCAAAAATTCTGGAATTGGAGTTACTAGTCACGGGCTGTCCTCCTATTTATGTTGGGTTGAATGGAGCTGGCTAAACTCTACAATACCGTGCAGTACTGTGCTGGCTGCAGCTTCAAATTTAACCAGAAACTTCCCCTATTAGCACCACAAATATACATAAAATTTTCGTTGCGCATACATCATATACATATAATTTTCGACGCACATACGTCATACCATACAACCACATATGGGATCATCCCGTATACACCGAATGTCTGCAGCTTCAAATTTAACCAGGAACTTTCCCCATTAGCAGCACGTATATACATACAATTTTCGGCGCACATACATCATATGCATACAATTTTCGGTACACATACGTCATGCCTTACGACCACTTCGGGATTATCCCTTATGCACAGTATGCCTGCGTACATTTGGACCACACCTAACACTGCAACTCACTGCGTTTTTCGTCCTAAAAACGGTGTCGGATCCATCTCATCGAGGACACTGTAACTCAATGCGTTTTTCGTCCTAGCTTTAACAAAAAAATCCAGAATCGGAGTTACTAGTGACCGGGCTGTCCTCCTATTTATGTTGGGTTGAATGGGGATGGCTAAGTGAGGTGTACTAAACTCGGTGCTACAGTACCACGCAGTACTGTGCTGGCTGTTGTTGCTTGCAAGATGACTGCATTCTGTGCTGCTAGCTAGCTGCTGCTGCTGCGCTTGGGCCAAAGGCCAGCTGCTGCTTGGGCTGCCGGCCTGCTGCTGCTAGCTAGCTTGCTTTTCTTTTTTTGTCAATTATTTTCTGGGCGTTACAATCAGCAAGCCTTGGATGCAGAAAGCTGGAACAAAATAGTAAAATTGATTAACTTTTGCACGAAATAAAGCAACCATTGCTGCCACAAGCTCAGCCCATATGCTACTATGTCGGAGCTTAAATATATGGCAATCATTGTAAGGGATTCGAAGAATAAGTCACATTTTTTTTTCTAATCAAAGTAAACAAGAAACCTTTGGAAATTTGTTACATATATATGCCATATCAAGCTTGTAGTTTGAGCATTGTCTATATGACTTATCATTAGAAAATGGATTATTTGGTGAGTAGTAAACAATGACTTATTAAAAATCATATAGTTGTAAACAGTGGCAAATTGAACTACATATACTTCCACAATGGGCATATAGTTGTTGCTCCATATGTGGAGAGACGAAATATGAAATAGCATTCAACTTAAGTATGAGGTGGAATGTATTCATTTCTCACTTCCCTGTTTTATTTTACTATAGCATGAAGAATGTCGTTGTCATTGCCTTTTGCACTGCCAACTTCTTTTTGCGTGGGTTGTGTCACTGGAGCGCTTCATCCATTTGCGATCCTAGAACTTCATTCGGTGCTATGGACAATCCCCCACCGAAGCTACACATCTCGCCATACGATGATGTGTACAGCCTAAACCCTAACATTAGTTCGGGGTAGTACGATCCTAGGGAAACGTAGTACACATTAATAAAATTGTCAATACTGGAGGAGAGATCAATCACACAAACAAACTAGTAAAATTTAGAATGTTTTTTAAAAAAAGAGTAAATTCTCTGTGTACCTTTAAAAACTCACTCAATCTCTATATATCATACCCTTGAATTTTAACTGATCTCTTCTACACCCTCGAAATTTTAACTTGATCCTTTCCATGCCCCTACTGTTATATTTACCTTAATTTCATTGTTAAGTTTGGTACCAGATGTCTTTTATGCCCATGATGATGTTTGTTTGAATATAAGGTTGAAAAACAATTGAAATTTTTGTTTGAGTGCACATTACATGCATTTTACGAAACTAATGAGACTAAATAATTGCTGCAGAGAATTTGAACATTAATTTTGAAAATAAACTAAATGTAATAAATTGAAATTTTAATATGACAATGGATTTTTTTTTGCAATCAGGGGCATTCATACAAAAATGAGAAGCATCCATAAAAAAAATCGTGAGCATTAGTAGCCCCATCTTTATATGGATGCTCCAAATTTTTAATGCCTTTTTAATAAATAAAATAAATACTCCCTCCGTTTCAAGTTATAAGTTGTTTTGACTTTAGTCAAAGTCAAACTGCTTCAAGTTTGACCAAGTTTATTGAAAAATAGTAATATTTTTGTCTCAAGATAAATTTATTATAAAACTATATTTAAATCTTAATTTAATAAAACTATTTGGTAATGTAAATATTACTATATTTGTCTATAAAGTCGTTAAACTGCTTCAAGTTTACCCAAGTTTATTGAAAAATAGAAATATTTTTGTCTGAATATAAACTTATTATAAAACTAATTTGGTAATGTAAATATTACTATATTTGTCTATAAACCTAGTCAAACTTGAAGCAGTTTGACTTTGACCAAAGTCAAAATATCTTATAACCTAAAACGGTATATATATTGGTTCTTTCATTATTTAAAAATAAACTTCGTCATAAATAATGTGACCACGACAAACCCATAACTATAATAGTCTTATATGAAAAACTTTTATATTTTTAACAGTGTAATTCATAAATTTAGAAATTAGATTGTCAACTTACGGTCAACTGATTGGAGGAGCATGGAAGGGATGAAGTTGAAATTTTAGAGGTATAGAAGGCATTAGATAAATTTCAAGGGTATCATTGAGATTGAGTGAGTTATCAAGGGTATACAGGGAATTTACTCTTACACGCGACGCTGCAGCCGAGGGTGGTCCCTCCCTCCGCGCACGCTACCGACGCTGCTCCTGCCCTAGGCTCGCGTCGCCGCAGCTGCTCCCTCCCACGCGTGCCACCGCCGCCACCGGCACCGCTCCATGTGGCAGAGTTGGGGATAAGATTATGTGGAATCAGGGGCATTTTGGTCATTTTGGACTAGAAAATACATTTCTATGAAACCTTAACGGTGGAGGGAAAACAGGGTTAGCTATTGGTGATAGACTTCAAAATAGGGTCAAATAAGCAATTGTCCCTTAAAAAAATATCTCCAATACATTGCCTAAAAGTAGCTCCCAACTTGTGGAGATCAAAAAAAGAATATGGGACTTGATTAAGAGGACTGTAGGAGCACTATTTTCAGCTAATATCTTATAATGTTAGCATTGGAATCTGCTGGGAAGATAAGGGAATGATAAGGGAATTAGCAGCTCTTTTTGTTTTTGGTCCACCACTTATACTCAACGCATTTATGGCCCAGCACATTAATACAGATAAAACCTGTATGTATATAAACCTGTATATATACAGATAAAACCTGTATGTATTTATGGCCCAACACATTAATGTATTTATGCAAATGAATTTTGCAGAGTATATAAACTTTATACATAGAAATATATAGCCACACAAAAAATTTAATTTTTTTAAAGAAGACAAAATATGCCTATTTTGGGATACAGTCTCGGGGTGTCTTGCCGCCACATGCCACGGACACATTGAGTTTGGTAAAAGTAGTTCGTGAACACAAGTCCCAAAACAGGGAAGACTGATCCGAACTAGAACTGATCTGTCCAAGAGGGGTGGTAAGATCTACAGTGACACTAGACCCCAGTGACCTAGAGAGAAGGGACAGGGTTCCGACAAGCAACGGTTGCCTAAGTCAATATATATCAATTTAATCGTCTAACAATGAATAACAACATAGAACCAATGGATAGCACGACATGGAAAAACCAATATGGTACCTCAAAGTGGTATTGTGGTTCTTGTCAATCTATACCAACCAAGGATATGCTAATGTTTACATACTCTCTATGGTTTTTAGTTTTTTGATGCGGTTGACTTTTGGCATAGGATTAACTATTCGTGTTACACGCATGATAGATATTTCCAATAAAATGAAAGAAAAACATATTGATGAATCTTGTACTCCAAAGAAATCAATGTTTTTTTTTGGATAATGGATAGTAATCTGGTCTCCATATCCACACACTACCAGAGGTTACATGAAAACTAAAACAAAAAAGAAAATGAAAAGACTACAAGACTATTGCTTGGCCTTCTCCTATTTAATAACGAGTCATGCTAAACAAAAAACCGCAATGCGTCGATCTTGATATGCGGTATGAACTCTTGCACCCCTCACGACGTTCTGATCATATGTGATGAGCTCCTTTTGCCACCTTGTCCTTGCCATTGGCTAGAGCCAATCGATCTGATCTGTCAACATCCTGGCCCTGGTGCCATTGCTTGCCGACGCTATTCAGTGGAGGCAGAGAAGAAGAAGCCTTTTAATGTAGTTTGCGATTACACGTTCAGATCGGGCATGGACATCTCAAATCCCGTGGCACCTGCGTCCTAGATCCAACTTCATGACATATCCATTGCCAGCATTGCCATATCCTGCCTACCGTCATCTTGCGTTTTCAATGCATCCTTTTGTCACCTGGAGGGCAATCTGGCCAGGCCGGATCCATCAACTCAGAATGTCGCTGGCACTGCCTGCGATGCCACTCTCATCCCAAGTTGCAGTCGCTGAGCCAACGTTGATTGGCTGGCCACCATTGCCATCCCAAAGCCTCTATCACCGCCTCGACACACCGCCCTGTAGCCGCTGCCAAGACGCTTGTTGTCGCTGAGGCATTAAGCAATAGACATGGAAGGACAATGGACGTGGCGAGGCAAAACTGACCTCTTTTCGGAGTGCGGCGAGCGGAAACGCCACCATTCCCAAACTCTGCTTCCAACACCTATTGCTGTGCCCTACGCTATCGTCACGCCCTATTTTTAAAAGATTAATTAATGTTCCAGCACAATATTTTTATAAGATTAATTAGTCTTAGAAACCAGATCGATCTTCTGTTCCATGGGAATTCCCACATTAGACGCGTCCCGACAAACTATTCTACCTAATTTCCCAGACTTATTTAAAATATATGTGGTAACTTCTATCATTTTGACACACCCAGCAATCTGTGCTCTTCCCAGATAAATTAATCCTAGCCTGGTTGGCACGTGGTAGACAAATTCCATTAATTCTTCCATATCTCTCAACGTAGCAGGTAATTAGTATATCTTTCAGGAATCAGGACCATCCACTTCAAGAAAGGCAGCGACCGCCGTCGGCGCATATGACCTGACCGGTTATATAGGAGGACGCTGGCATTGACAGAAACGCCACCAGCGATGCGATGTCCTCTGGTTCACCGAGACGGCCCATGGGAACACGGCTGAACTCTGCTCGCCCCAACTCGTTACCCTCCACGAACTGCACACATTTAGGCCCATTAGAAAAAAAATGCATGTCTAACTGACAACTGTGCCATATTTGTAAGCTTGCAAGCATATGTACGTTGTCAAAAGAACCTCCCATTTAATGAGTGGTAGTCTAATATTTATTTGAATCAAGTTAATACTATATATTAAAATAAGTAAACTAATAATAAAGCATATTTGATAAAAAATATTATATCTATGACATATTAGTATATATTTTATTTTACCCATAACAAAGCATGGGTATTTTGCTAGTCTCTGAAAATAAAAAAAGAAGTGGGAGATAATATAAATTAATTATAGAACTACAAAGGAGCCGTACATCCATGGATAATTTAGTAGAATTAAAACCTGGAACTTACTTCAGATAGGAGCGGAGTACGAATGAAGCCTGGCGCAACACAGTTAACTCTGATCCCATCGTTCGCCCACTCAGCAGCCAGGTTCCTTGTGACTTGGTTCATTGCTCCTAATATCACAAAGAGCACAACTTGTCGTCAAAACATGAGAAAGGTCAAATAAGAGTTGTGTTCGGCCTCCCATGGAAATTGTTAAACTTCTATAAAATCTACGTTTTCCAAAGATAACCTTAGTATATTGCCTCATGTGTAGTGAAGGTAATTGCCTGTGGTTACTGCTATGCGGAAGCCTCAGCTAATAGGTGTGCCTCACACCCCATGGATCCACATGTCAACTATTGTTAGTATTATGCAGTAACTACTGAGGATCTGTGTCCGTGTCTTAGAATTAATCCACTTTAGATAGGCTGACCGTGGTGCAAGCATATTCAGCTTGATAGATTTTGGGTTACTAATCTTGTGCACTTCTATTTTTAGCAGCTTTCTTTCAGTATTTCGTTGTGTAGTAGATTGTATCCTGCATGCTTGCATACGGCCGGCTGGGAATTAAGGATAGAACCAGACAACCAGTCATTGAGTAGCCGTTTTTTTTTTCTCAATTGCCGGCAAGAAACCAGATCATACGAGTAGCTGTTATTGGATCTTGCATTTCAGGCGGCCATGGTTTGCTTGTAATTATAACCCAGTTCATAGAGAGAGAAAAAAAGGAGAAAAACAAAAAAGCTGCAAGGTTACACATGCCAAAACCTTACGTCGCTCCACTCTGCCTTGCATTCCTCTGTTTCCTCTGTTTCTAACTACTGTAGCGCGTCCAGCAGAATTCAGGCAGCTGCAGTCTGCAGACACCAAGCGTGAGCGAGAGATTTCAGCTTTTCCGCTAACACAGGTTATATCCTTAAAATCACCCAAGAAGTTCGGAAGAGGTTGTTTATTAGTCATCCGTTTTAAAATATAAGATGTAATTTTCTTCGTATAACCTTTTCTTTCTCCATTTGGTTAGTATTTAGTACTAGTACAATTTGTACTAGTTACATTCGTACTGACGAGTACCTTACTTTATTATGTTCATATTTTTCATCAGATAAATCTTCTATAACCGATTTCAGGGTCAAAAATCTGGCCTCCTATTGAGCCACATGGCACACTAAAAATTTAGTAACACATGTCCAGAAAACTGCCACGTGTCCATTTAAAGAGCCTGCTTGCTTGAAAATTATATGTCTCCCGTGCACATACATGATACAATATGGAGTATTGCCCAGCCCTCGGAGAGATTAGCCGGTTGTTGGAGAAGATGAATAGGTAGCACTCCCGTGTACATCATGGTAAATAAGCGTGTACAGTTTATGGCACAAATTCTATAGATTTGCAGCTTTTCATATGGTACTATGAGAAAATGACGAGTTTCGTAGCTCCTTTAAACAAAATTTAGAACACCTTTAAATAAAATATCGTCACCAGTTTTATCATTCAATAGAAAACTCAACTATGATTTTAGATAAATAAAGAAACCCTAAATAGTGTGGAAAAAAAAGAAAAATTAAGGATTTTCGTAATAATGTGATTTGCTAAACTAAATTTTAACTTAAAAATTGATTAAAATTTTCATTCAAATGTACCTTTTTTGTTTCAATAAAATTGGACTAAATTCTTATAAAACTTTGCAAAATTTATATTAGCTTTGTATTTAACATAATGTCATTTTAAAAATCAACACAGACTCCATTACGCATATTTTAACATTGTTTTCCCAAACTACATATCTATAAAAATTAAAATACAACTAAGTTTTCATTAAAAAAATATTAATATGATATTTACAATTTAATAGCTTAAGATATGGAAATTTGATGATGTCGTCTTTTTGCAAGACACATAATACTTTTTAACAACACAAAAACGAATGCAAGAGCTATAAAACAAGCGTACCAATTGGCACGCTCAATTTCTAGTGAGATACTAGTAATAGTTAACAAGCTGGTCAAAGCCTTGTTCTAATAGACAAAATGCCCCTTATATTTTCAAATTCTGGTAATAGTGCTATATCCGTTTTCTAGAAAACTCTTCCACCTCCTAAACAAACATGATATTAAGCGATTTTTATAGAAATCAGTTAAGTGGAGAAATGTCTAAGGTGCCACAGTGATATCGTTCAGTTAACTGGAGCCCATGGAGGGTCCCATTGAATCGCAAAAATGTAAAAATAGTGCAATAAAAAAATCACAAGATTCCGATAGAAATGCAAATACAAAATAGAGAATGATAAAATACAGGAAAAACACGTACAGGAACTGTTGTTTGATTAGACGGCAAGAAAAACGTATGAATCGAATGAGAGAGATAGATTCAAGCAATTTTTCAAGAGGATGGAACTCTTGCTATGTTTCCTCCAAAATGTCGATACGATTGTGCGTTAAATAGGAATTTCAAAAAGAAATTCTATATGATTGAAATCCTCGAAATTTTATGTGTTTTTCATACAAATCAAAGGGACTCTAATTACTCATCCATTAGTCAAAGGAAACGAGTCTCAATTCTCAAGCAAACACTTTGTGGAACAAATATCGAATGCTAAATATAAATTATCATGGAAAAACCGTGATGCTGGTATACTACTACATACTCCATTATATATTCTTTTTAGATAAAAAATATTTTTGAAATATGTCCAAGATAGCAAAGGTTGTTTGTTTTGACCTTTAGCAGCTGAGTAGACGGCGTTGGGAAGAGAGCAGAACGCGACCACCGAAGCAATGGACGAGATGTTGATGATACAACCTCTCTGAGAGGCCTTGAGGAGAGGGTACGCCAGCTGGCTCAAGTGGAAGCACGACTCGAAGTTCATCCCCATCACCTACGAAGTAGAGGTGGTAATGGGTCAATGTGTATAGGTTCTTCTACGATCTTATTCAGACTCTAAATATTTTTAGATAAAAAAATAAATAGAAATTCAGCGTAACTCATTTCATATTGAGGCCTGGTTTAGTTCTCAATTTTTCCATCACATCAAAACTTTCCTACACACATAAACTTTCAACATTTTTTTTCAAACTTTCAATTTTAATCAAACTTCCAATTTTGGCGTGGAACTAAATATAGCCTCAGCTCTTAAATTTTGTAGGTTAAAAAATTAAGACCCATAACGCCTTAACCACCCCTACCTGCGAGCAATCGTCCGGCGTCAGCTCCACCGCCGGCTTCAGGAACGACATCCCGGCGCAGTTCACCTGCATTCATGAGCTCGCCACGGATTCGTGTGTCACAGATAACACTATCAAAATCGACCACGGCAGCTAAGCTGCCTTAGCTAATTTCTACATGGGTCGTTAATTTACCAGGATGCTGAGCTTGCCGCCGAAGAGCTCGCGCACCGTGCCGGCGAGCGCCTCCCTGTCGGCACGCAACGAGACGTCACAGACGGAGACGGTGACGGCAAGGCCCTTGGCCGTCAACTCCTCCCGGCATCTGTTCAGCGGCGCCTCGGTCCGGGCGCAGGTGTGCACCGTCGCGCCCAAGCTGGCGAGCTCCTCGACGATGGCGCGGCTGCGAGGGTTGGCAATATGTACGATAACGATCCGATCGATCAGTGGAACGCGGCTTGCGCATATGCTGGCGTGCGTCAATCAGCTGAGAAGATTTGGTAGATTAGTCTTACCCGATGCCTTTGCTGCCGCCGGTGACGAGCGCGGTGGCGCCGGCGAGGCTCCACCTCTCGTTTTTAGAGCTGGTAGTCGCCATGGCCATGTACGGCTGGAGCCTAGAGGTCTCAATTTCTCTTCGTTTCAGTGAATGTAGTTTGACTTTACTGTGTATCGACCAGTGAGGATATTATATAGACTTGTTCATCCCCACTCCAACCGAAAGAATATTCTTTTGGGCTGAAAAATTCATCTAAAAATATGACTAGATAATTAAAAGACTTTTTTTGTCGCATTTAGTACATTCGAAAATGTGGCACTAGCTTCTTTATTTAAAAAGAGTTTGAACGACTCGCACAAGACGATGCAACTCTGCGAGGTTGTAACCCGTAAAAACAAAGAAAAACGCATCGCCGTCAAGAGTTGGCAGCTCCTCACAACACACAATAGAGAAGACACTAGCACCAAGCCGACCGTCCCTAAGCGTGATCAATCGCCAGAAGGCCAACAAAGAGGCTGCAAACGCCCCGCATAACACCAACTCAACCCAGAAAGACGTCGAAAGGTTTTCAGTTATACTCACGAAGAGGAGTTGAAAGGAGGAAGAGGGTGATAGAGAAGGAGATCCATTCATCCCTTGTCACAACCTGATGAAGAAAACCAAGAGCCGCCAATGACTAATCAAAAAGAAGACATAGATTGCGAGGAATAGGACCTCCTAGACAATGCCTTCATGAAGGCCATGGGATTTTAGCCGTCACTGTTGCCCGTCCAGAAGGACTCGGTTTTCAACTGGAGAAAGCGTAGCCGCTTGCATACAAACCTCCACACCACACCTATTGCCACCACTTCAGAGCTCTGCCACCTACACAACCTCTGCCAACTCGACCTCATCTGCACCAGCGCCACACCGCCAGCCAAGCCTACAAAGGAATCTCGCGAACACAATCCGCGATGGCCTCCCTGCCGTCGCCCTCGCCGGCCTTCGCCACCACCGGATTCGCAACTACGGCCTCCCAACCGTCGCAAGCGTCCTCACCAGCCTCTCGCGGTCGTAGGTTGCAGTGCCCGCTCCATCATCATCTGCATCGTCCCCCTCCTCGCTGCTAACATTGCCGTGCAGGCGATGCATGCGCCGTCCTCCTCCTCCGTCACCGGCCGCGACGTGCCAGCCCTCCGCCAGCCACGGCCTCGTTTGCCCCTCCCCATCCCCACGGCACTTCCTTGCCCTGCGCGCCTCTCCTCGTGCCACCCCGCACATCCACGGGACTGCCGTCGTCACGAGCTCTGCCGCCATCGTGGCGGTCCTATACCGATCTAGCCTAAGGGAGGCCAGATTTGCCACCGCGAAGGCCATATCCGCCTCCGGTATGGCTGGATCTGCCGCGCCAAATTAACCATTCCGGTCGCTGGCCTCTGCACTTGACATGCACCGCTCCATCTCCCGCGCCGAGGAGGACCATTGTCGAAGTCGCTTTCCCCGCCGTCACCTTTACGGCTAGCCGCTCGGTTTCGGGCGACGGGCTCTAGCGGTGGCGAGGTGGAGAGGAGAAGTGAGGGGAGTGCCGGTGCGGGTGGCTAGGGTTTTGTCCCCAAGCCGCCCACGCGAGAGCGACGCGGGGGCGATAATATAATGTGTCCTTATTCCGGTTACTAGCTTCTTATACTATCTCAAATAATACTTCTTAGTTTATATTCTTGTCCACAAAGCCAAATAATACCAGTCTTTAAAAAAAAAGGTGCAGACACGCAAGTGCCTTATCAATCTTATCCTTACCTAACACGTCGGTCTGCGGCAGTATGATGTGCATGTGGATGTCTAGGATGGTAGTGCGTGCCAGTCAAACATCATCACGGCGAGCAGTGCACGACTGTATGATGAATGATGATCTAATAGTCACTCACTGTAGAGCTATAAAAGGAGATGTAAACCTGTCAGTTGTCGCAATATGCGCGAAAAGAATTTTCAGATAAATGAAAGTGTAATTGGAGATAGTTATCCCGTTCCCGTTGCCTGCTATTTTCAATCGGCATCTGTGAATTTTTCCCATGGCATATTTCTAACATATTCATATCTGTTTGCTTTTCAAAAATCGTTTGATTTTTTTTCTCATATGTCAATCAATTATTCTCGCACAAGTCATCAACTACATATGATTTGAGAAAGGGATGGCTGTGGTGCGCCAATCTTTTGGCACTCATCAGAAAAAACATTTGCTCATGCGACCAAAATGGCTCTATCCAGACCGCCAAACACTCCGCGTGCAACTAAAAGACCTACAAAGATATGTTGTCTTGGTAAGTGGGAGGCGACAGTCTAAGAAGATTTGTTTTCGCAGGGGGTGGTTAAGTGACAACCTATGAAAAATCAATGTTCATATGCGGTCGGCAGTAAAAATAGCCACTTGTAAACATTTATTCCGTGTAGACATATATATAAACTAAGCAAATTTTGTTGTACGACAGTACAACTTCGTGGTTTTAGCACTCAATCTTTGTACTCGCGTGATTGACCGAAGGTATATTTCGTCACATAGCGGGTATACGTTCATCCAAAATCACCCGTATACAAATATTTACACATACTTGTAGAAACAGTTAGTAATAAATCCTTATCACTAAGTTTGATATTTTATTCTATATGTTTTTATGCAGAAGTTGACGGTAAAATTTGGTACTTAACTATCATCAATAGTCGTCTGGGTATTCGAAACTGTAGACAGTTTCTAAGCTGGTACAGGTATCACTGATTGGGCATGTATTCAGACATGGTTGAACCATGACTGAGTCTAACCTGAGGGGATGGAGTTGAAGTAGATCCCAATCTTGTGGCGAGAAGCAAAGGAAGTTGCATCATGATTTTGGGCATTGTTGGAGATGCCGATTGGATAGGCCGACGCTGCAGGTTTCTCTGACTGGTTTGAATCCTACTCGGGAAAAACTGGCCTAACGAAGGTCTTGGTGGCGTTCGAGTGACCGAACAAGATGGAAGTGATCTTGAACCTCATCGACTGGTTAGAACCTAAGACGGAGAAGGAGAGTTTGCCGAAGTTGTCGGTGAGGAAGTCAAAGCAGCTGAATCGAAACGCTTACCCTGGGCGATAGACAAATCCAATGACTCGTGAAGTTGAATCCATCGCTCTTGTTGATGAAACACTTGACACAACCCCTACACGCACGCCAGCTATGGATTTTTTTTGATTGGCAATAATTTTATGGGACTGTCTACAACTCAGTCGACAGAAAATAGGTGTTCCAATCTGTCGAATTTTGTAGCCACAAGATCTGAATCAAACAGCCTCAGATTTTTAACAACAAAAAATATAAAAAAAAACATAGCAAGCTAAATCTGAAAGGCTATTCATGGCCCATTTCTTTTGAGCCCAAATCCAGTCGATACTATGAGGGCATAAATCCAAAACAAAGCCCAAATCCAAACCATGGCCCAAATAGATCAGATCAAAAAAAACAAAAAAAAAATCACGTGACCTTATGCCGTATTGAGAAAATTTGTCAAGCAAGAAGCAACTCTGCAGAGTCACGTGATTCTGATCTAAAAAGCAAAAAAGCAACTTTGCTTTCAAGAAGAAATCACTTGGGGATTTTTACACAAACAGATCTAACAAAAAAAAAAGAAGAGGATGGAGATGGAGGAGAAGAATAAAAAAAAAGGAGATATAGGAAATCAAATCAAAAACACAAAGGATTTAAAGTCTGATTTCAAAAATCAGGTTCTGAAAAAGAATACAGGTACTAATACCTTTTATTCTCTTCAGTTTATTTTTCTGAATCTTCTGTCGATTGATATTGATATGTAAAAATTTGACAAGTTAAATTCACCAATATATAGATCACATAATGCAGATTTGACTACACTTTACAGAAACATCTGACAAATTTGAAAGTTGAACAGATTTGACAAACTAAAAATTCAGAAACTCTTGGTTGCAAGAAAAACATCAATCAATGTGTAAGAAAAACAAAAACATCATACCAAATCAAAATACACAGATTGTCAGGTAACACCATAACTTGGTCTGAAATTTCTTGAGAGTATTCACAGATTCAAATCGAAATGCAAAATATAATTTCATACTAAAACTTTCACTGAACTGAAATATCTACAAGCATAATTTCAAACCATACTCTTCTCTGAATTATTTTAAGACACCGACATCTTGCAGTTTTAAGAGAATACAGATGCATCAGAGTTAAAAATCACTATGAGGAGCTCTTATATTTCTGTAACCTCATTATCTCAAAACACAAAATCACTACAGAAAAAATAGTGTAGGGATGCAGAAAGTTGAGTTATGTCACAATTTTATATTTTAGTTATATTACTGTAGCAATTAATTAATAAGAAGCAAATGCAGATTTCAGAGCATAACGCTATCAGAAAATAATAATTCAAACACTAAACATTAGAAAATTATAATTCAAACACTAAACATTAGTAGCAGTATAGCTCTTTCTAGTACAGTCCCCAGGACATAGAGCTGAACAAAAAGAATGAGACCAGCTATACTCACTTACTCATCAATGTCAGAGACATAGATGGTCACAAATAAGAAGACAATTGTCTTAAGCCAACATATTGATTAGTTACAGGACAATTGTCAGAAACCGTTAGATTGCAATCTAGCATCCTTAGGCAGCAATCAATTACAACTTCAGATTATTTTTTACTCTTCAAGAAATTCTAAATTCAGACCATAACTCACTGAGAATATTAAGAAAAAAGAAAAAAAATCGTTGCATATCAACTGACTAGCAGGATAATAAAAAATTCATAGTACGAAGAAAATCAGAAAAACATAATTCATTACAATCTAAAAATAAACTAAAAATTGCTACAAGTTGCCATAAAAATATTCAAATCACTATATTGAGAATATTCAGCAGCATTCTAAAACTTTGTTATTAAATTACAGTCATTTTGTACAAGAATTACATAAAACAGATACTGTAATTTCAATAGTAAAAATATGTAACTTACATCTTGTAGACTTGAGGCTTTACAGAAACATCAAAGATTTAGTATATGTTTGATTCAATTTATAGAATCTATAGGATCTGTTAACAATATAGAATTTATCAAGTAATTTGTCTTACAATAAGTAGAAGTACAGATTTAAAGCCATTTCTAAACAACTAGGAGAACATATGTGTAGGTGCATTTCAAAAGAATATGTACTGCATATGTACTGTATTCAGAACAAAACTTATATCAAAATTTGGATTTCAAAGAATTTATATGTCAAAAAATTTATATTACTCATGGACCAACTGCACAAAGTTCATGGCAAATGTAAATCAAATTTCATATATAATATATCAGATTTCAGAGTATATCAAATTTCAAAATTTCGGAGTATATCATATTTCAGAATTATCAAGGGAGTAACATAAAGTAACACATCTCCTCAATAATATCATAACTTACTTGTCTAAAATTAGATAATAGTACGGCAAGCTTCTGTTCAGTCACCTAGAGAGTAAACAAAAGTATGGTCGGATAGCAAAAAAAAAACAAAAACAACACATATCAAATACACCACTCTCTTTACATTACTCACTTGCTGATCAATGTGAGAGACATAGATAGTCACAATAAAGAGGACAAATGTCTTAAGCTAACATTTTGACTAGCTACAGGACAACTGTCAGGAAACTCTTAGATTGCAATCTAGCATCCTTAGGCATCTATCAAATACACCTTTAGAATCCTTTTTTTGCTCTTCAAAGAATTCTAAATTTGAATTTGCATTTCATTGCATAGTACAAATTTCAATACTCACATGTATTATTAAATTTGATTCCATAAACCATTCAAATCAAGCACAATGCTTCACAAAATGAGAAGATTCAATAGCATTCAATTTTTTTTCTTAAATTACAGTTATTTTGTATAAGAATTACATAAAACAAACATTGTAATTTCAATACTAAAAATATGTAACTGACATCTTGTAGAATTAAGACTTTATAGAAACATCACAGACCATATTATCTTAAGATTCAATTGTCATGTGTGTTCTTAGGTTGAACAACATTATGGCATATGAATTTTGAACTGCATATTATTGCAGACCAAAGTAATTAACAACAAATTCAGAATTAAGATCACAACTCAATCAGTAATTCAAAATTGAGACATATTACTGCAGAGCAACTAAATATCAAAAAAATATTGAAACCATTCCTATGGAACAATTATGCCAACAAGAAAAATAAATAACTTCAATTCAAAGTTTGTGCCATGTCAGTTTGTTGGAGCAAATTTGCAAATTGGACGTGTGAGATTAATAGCAAAAATATACTCCAGTTTATCTACAAAAATAAATTAGATGATTTGTGTGAAAATAAATAAACTACATGTTCAATGTTGGAATAATATTCTTTGATTCTTGCACTAATACTATGCAGTTTTCAAATTTGAAAGCATTTAGATTCACGAAGTTACAAATTCAAACTAATCATATAGAATAATCCACAAATATTGTTAAATTGTCACAAAATAGCACAAAGTTTGCACAATTAGTTCCTAATCCCTTCCTAGTACACACGCACAAAAATTACAGTGCATTTCTACTATATTTACATAGAAAAAATACTGTAATTTCAATATTAAAATCATGTAAATGGAGCCACGATTTTAATTATGATTATGATTACTAGTGCAAAATCTGTACATATTTAATTGAAATGCTTTTATATTCAAGATTAAAAGAGAAGAATTTGAAAACATCAAATGTTCTAAAGATGGGTGATGAAAAGCAATTCCAATCAGGAAATACATCAAGAGGTAAGATATTCTTCAACTGTAATCTTTAAAACTTCAAAAGCTTTTCATCCTGAAACAATCAAATTCAGGTAAAAAGTAAAAAATGTTATTCTGTATAGATTTATCTTAATCTGGATCATAATTTTCAATTTAAAATCTACATGCATAAATAGAAATTTGGATCTTCAAATTATTTTAAGTGTACAGAAATATTCTGATTCAGTTATGATTTTTGCACTAATGTTCTACAATTTCAATTTTGGGTTCCTTACAGATTCAACCAAAAAAGGACAGGAATTGAAAGCAATCAAGAAATTACCAAGTATTTTATTATGTTTCATTATATAAAAATTAAATCAAACGCAAAATAATAACTTGAAAGTTAAAAATGATTGATTGATTGTTCAAAGGAGTTAAAAATTATATAGAACAGGTCAAAAGAGGAGTCTTAACATATGACCAAATAGCACAAAGTTAGCACAGTTAATTCCTACTTTCATCCTAGTATACACAAAAAATTATAGTTCATTTGTACTATATTTACGTAGAAAAATACTGTAATTACAATGTTACAACCATGTAACTGAAGGCAAAAAAAATAAATTCAGATTCAGTAATGCAGAAAAATAGGTTGAATTTTACAATTATACAACTTCAAGTCTAATAAATAGAATACTGCAGTGATAATTCAAGTGTCAGAACACCATGACAATTTTAAAATTTGTTAAATTTTAGACAACATGACAGCTTCAAGATTCAGAGCTAGAGTACTGCAGTGATAATTCAGATATCAAACATGAAGTAACTTTAAATTTCTGAATTTCTCCAATTCAAAACTAACTGATATGGGAACTTGAAAATTAATCAGAACATCAATTTCACCTAACGATTTTGTGCGGCATTTTTTTGTCAACAGATTTGAAACAACTCGACCTTATGAATCCACCCCTTGCATCCCCCGATTGTTTCAAACAGCCAAGCTCCTCCTACACAGGCAGGCAACATTATGATGACCATGGGAGGTATATACATATCTGTAGTCAACTCTTGCATATATATTGCTACCTGACATTGAGCTAGCTCCTCTTTGTTCACTGGATTGCTTCATTTGATTCTAACTGCAGTAACCAGATTGAACTCCTGGCTCGGCTGCGTTTAGTTCCAAACTTTTCCTCCAAATTTCCAACTTTTTCCATCACATCAACCTGTCATACACACACAAACTTTCAATCACATCGTTTCAATTTTCAACCAAACTTCCAACTTCGGCGTGAACTAAACACATGAGAGTTGGAGCAAGTGACTGATGGTTTTAGGAACAGGGGAATAGAACGTCCTGTTGGATGAAGGGTGGACAATTATCAAATTATTATTTCTAATTGATAATAATTAATAAAGACATATCCTCTTTTACTGTTTCATATGGTTTCTAATCGTCGGTCATCTTCTGAGAGTTTCTTGATAGCTCGATAATTTACTCCATTTTACTGCTGCCAGTGGATTCCAATTCCGCATCGATCGTCTTCCTCTGCTCTCGACGAATTCCTTCTTGGCCCAGACACACACTCAAATAAATTTGGATCGATCAATTTTTTAAGGTATATACAGTCCAGAGAGTGCTCGATTTCACTCCACTTCCTCCTCCTTGATTGAGTTGTTTGTTCGATCGATGGATTGATTGTCGCTGTCGGTTTAGCAATCAAGCTAGCTAACTAGCTACAAAACAGGAATGTAGACTAATCTGCATCGATGAGTGCCTCTAATCTTCTTCTTCTCTTGTAACCAGCAGCAGAAGCAATCCCCCTCTCCTCTCTGATGGCGTTTGGCAGCCACACGCGCCTTGATGTGAGGCAGGCGCAGCAGCAGCAGCATCACTCCTCATTCTGCTCCCCCTCCACTGCCACCGCCGTCTTGGTGGCGCTGGCCTTGTCGCCGTCTGGATGGCCTCTTCCACGCTCGTCACCCCGGCGGATTTCTCCCCCTTCCACCCCACAACCACAACCACAACCGCTCGACCTTAGAATCACCAGATCGAAAATTAAAACAACATTAACTCACCTTAGAAGAAATCACCAGATCGGCGCTTCAAACACAAAAACAAAACCACAAATCTAGCAAATGCCTGCAAAAAACATACAACATATCAACGAGATAGAAAATTTAGAAGGCATCAACGATGAAAAAAAAAATAAAAAACAAAGCATCAAGGTGGTAGGGCTCTGATCAGGGGTGTGGGGTTTCCTCATGCCCATCGTTGTGGGATGCGGAGATCGCCATCTCCATGGCCGCGCTGCTCGTCACCGCACTGCTCCGCAACAAATTGGTACACTACAACATCAAAAACTTGTGCTCCCCCCTCATCGTCCTCTACTCATGCAGCCCCAGTGAGCTGCCGCCGAAATGGCCGTAGTGGTGGCTGCCGTTGCTGGCGGCGCTCGAAGGGGGAGAAGGAAGCAGCTGAACATGGAAGCGCAAGCAAGGAAGCAGTACTCACAACATCTCCGTCGATGAAGACCTCCTCACCAGTGAACCGCCTACTCGTCGCTTCGGCGCCGCCGCGACGGCGCGGAGAAATCCCCAGCTCGACGGCGCGGCGAGATCGCCTCCTCTTTCCCCGATGAAATCACCACTCTCTCTCTCTCTCTCTCTCTCTCTCTCTGTCTCTCTCTCTTCGCTCTCTTCCGTTCTATCGGAATCAACGAGAAAAAAAAATCAGCAAATTGGTCCCACAGAACCGACGAAAAAGGAGGCGCGGGTCTCGAAAAATTGAACAGTGGTTGTGGGACCTACAGAGCCCAAAAAGCGGGCCAATAAAGCCCAGCCCAGATGAACTCAAGGATGTCCATACCACAGCCCAGCGAATGCACGAATCTCAAATTAGATGGACGGCCCAAAAAACGAAAGATTTGGGCCTGCATTTTCTGTTGACAGAGGAATAGCAATTCCTTAAATTTATAGGGCTATGTACAAAGCGGAAAGGTGGATGGATGCAGAGACGATAGTTTAGACAAGTTAAGGCCCCCTTGATAAGAGATAATACCCTATTGAGGGTTGTATATCTATTGGGTGTTGTATTGATCTGATAATCTGAACGTGACTTGTGCTTAGGAGGACTCTCGGCTCCTCTTATATAGGTGGGGGGCAAGGGTATAGATAGAAAACCCAGCAGGACTCCGCATAACTTTCCTCAAGTATTAAAGAAAAACCCAGACGGGGTTCTGGAGTCATGACTTAAAATACAAGGTAACTTTAACGAGTAAACCATAAACAATATTAAATTTATCATTGTCTCAGTCCATCTCCTATCTTCACTCTTTGAATCAGCGCTTAAGTGAATAGTTTTCCATGACTTCATTGCTGGTTCATCACTATCATCTACAACTGCCACTGATAATGAGCATCATGACATTTCCTCAATTAATAACGATAAATGTAACAGTACTTCCGGCCCACACGGTCTAGCACGCACACATGTTTCTTCTTTCTTTTTTTTTCAGTTGCTACCACCGTTTCTTCTCTTTTCTTTTCTCGCTTTCTTTTTTTTCCATGATTTTTTCCTTTTCTTTTTTCGCATTTTCGATTACTTTGAAATCTTTTTTTTTGCTTTCTTTTTTTTCCATGATATTTTTCGCTTTTTTAATCTTCTAACAACACGTGTTTTTCAAATGTTTTGTGTTGAAAGTTTTTAAATATTAACTTAAAAATTTCAAATTTGGACTTGAAAGTTTTCAAATCTCGAGTTGAAAGTTTTCAAATCTCGAACTAAAAATTTTGAAAACTCAAGTTGAAAGTTTTTAAAATTTTCAAATCTAGACTTCAAAGTTTTCAAATCTCAAGTTGAAAGTTTTCAAAACTCGAGTTGAAAATTTTCAAATCTCAAGTTGAAAGTTTTCAAAATTTTTAAATCTGGACTTGAAAGTTTTTGAATCTCGATACTCGAGTTGAAAGTTTTCAAATCTGAGTTGAAAGTTTTCAAAATTTGACTTTAAAATTTAAAACTTAAATCGAAAGTTTTCAAATCTAACTTAAAAATTTTTCAATCTTCTAGTAAAAAAATCTCCAAAAAAAATCTTCAGAATCTTTCCTAATTACTGATAGAGGTAGTTAAGTCCGGGGGTGCGTGCTAGCAGCGCGCACGCACTAGCTAGGAGCCCCCCAATACTAATACTAATATATTTGGACCAATTGCATATTTGCCACTAGTTTCTACCAGTATTGTATATTTGCCACCATAAACAATTGGAACCCAACTAGCCTGCCATTATACTGACAAACTGAACTAGCACCGTTAGAAGGTTGGTTTTTATCAAATTTAGGACAAGGATACCCCTGTCCACCAAATTGCAAGATAAAAATTATTTTGGCATACTTACCGCATAATAAGAAAAAAAAGAGGATAAAAGCCTTAGGAGATGCAGCCGTGGGTTGCTACTGCCCACGAAAATGCTGCCTGCTAATGTTGTTGTTGTTGCTGGCCAAGAGCTAAGATGCTTAGATGCAGTTGGCTGCTGCTGCATCCCCTGATAATGCTGTTGCTGCCCAAGATGCAGTTGTTGCTGCTGCCGCCGCTCAAGCCGAAGTCGCACGCAGTTCTGACCGCCACAACACCCGCCGACTGCCTGTCGCCTCCTACTCATCAAAATCCATTAGCTCTTTCGTTGCCATAAGAGATGAGAGGATTTGAGATCTGTGGTTTATAGAGGTAGGAGGGGATCATTCTTTCTTGCAGTCAAGTCGGGTCCTAGGGCTGGGAGTGGATAAACTTAGGTAAGGGCAAAATAGTCTTTCAAGTTGCTATATATTTGTATGAATTATTTTTATCCTTTTAATTGCATCAGTTTGGACAACAGTGACAAACGGAAGCACAGAAAACCAACTTCGATGGAAAATTTGCAGTTTGTGTTTTTACAATTCTCCCAATTTATTTCTGGTGTGTTCATTCAATTTTATCTCAAATTTATACTAGTTTGTAAGTTCCAAACATTTCGTGGAGAGTAAAGAAAACCATCAACTATGAAAATACAACCGAGTAAAACCCCAGAGAGGATCTAATCATAACTAGGACAATATACGACCACCATCAACATAGATGACTTGTCATGTGATGTACTCCCTCCGTCCAAAAAAAAACCTAATCCTGGGCTCTGTCCAAAAAAAACCTAATCCTGGGTTTGAATCTGGACATCCCAGCATTAGGTTTTTTTGACGGAGGGAGTAGGATGCTGCCGGCATGCAGAGAAAAGCCACCAGCGAAGCGACCTCCTCCGGCGCGCCAACTCGACGCATCGGAATATGTCACAGCCTGATTTTCGTTTCAGGATTTATAAATTATTTAATAAATTATTAATATAATTTATATTAAATGTTCATTAATTTACAAGTGAAGTTAAATGTGGGAAATAAAATTTCCTAAATATAAAGCATGGATGGATTTAATTTTTATTAAATTCTCCTTGATTAATTATACTCTCTGAAATTTTCAAAGATTTTTCAGAGCTCAATTCCTAAATGATACAAAGAACAGTTCAATAATTAGTTAATCAATAATCATTAATGATCTAGTTATAATTATGTTAAATGCTTTTCTTGTTTAAAAATCCTTAAATTATAAATTGTTGTTTAAAAGGAATTATTAGAAATGATCTTAAAAGCATAAAAGAGAATATCTAATTTTTTAATTTGTTAAATCTTAATATAAAAATGGGCTAGATAAAATTTTGTTAAATACTTCTCTTGTTTCTATAGTTCCTAGATTTTTCTGGGATTTATTTGAGCCAAGGAAGTATTTTTAATCAATGGAATATCATTTCATGAATAATTTAAATAGAAATAAATCTCCCTTTTGGCTTTGGGCCGAAAGTCGGTCCAAGTCTCTCTCTCCCTCTCCCTTTCCTTGGCCTGCTTGCGCTCGGCCCGTTCAGCCCAGTCCGCCGCGCCCTCCCTCCTCTGTCTCAGCCGCTGACAGGCGGGACCCACCTGTCAGGGCTGTCTTCCTCCTCCAGTCACCAACTGCCGCCTGTAGCGCCGCAAGCCGCCGCTGCCTCCTTCCAAAATCCGGCTGCCCCTTTCCTTCTCCGGCCAAATCAATTGAGGGGAAATAATCTCCTCGATCTCCTCTTCCTTTTCTCTTTAGGAATCCCGGGCTAATTTCGTTTGGTAGCTAACACGCAAAATGAGGAAAAGGCTAAGAAACTCCAAATAAACAATATATATAAAGTAAACAAACATGTAGATCATGATTTTAGATGAATTATGAGACTTGAACGGCCTCATTCTGACTTCATATGAATTAATTACGAATTTTACAAGATTTAATCTAATTAAAGCCCATTTAAAAAGGATTAAATAAATTTAATTCAATTTATGGGTAATTTTAATATATAGATCTTTATTTTATACAACTTTTGCAACTTGAACCACATTAAACCGAGGTACAATAAATTAGTTATGAATTTTTTAAAGATTAAACCGGATTAAAGCATTTATATGGATTTTAATTGATTTATGACGCAATAAAGAATTATTTTTGAAAGGAAAAGAGATTTATTGCGTCATCAAAGACGGTTCACGGTAGACCGGGTGCACAGAGGCGGTCTACGAAAACAACGGCCGAGATCTAATTGACCTAAACTTGACCAAATCGGACGACCGAGATCAATTTGGTCTATCACGGGTCTACGGCTCACGAGGCGCTGACGTCGACGATGACGTCATCACCGGCGGTGGCTCGGCACCTCGTGCTCCGGCAGGAAACGGCGGCAACGAAGGGGTGGACGAGGTGCTGCTCCTCCTTGTGATCCCGACGCTGGCAACGGCGACCGAAGACGGCGGCTGCAACGGCGGCGCGGCGCGGCTGGACTGACGGCGACGGTGGAGAGCTTTGGGTCGACGGTGTCGGCGATGCTCCGGTGATCTGCGGCGGAAACGGAGGACGGGACGAGGACGACAGCGACCTCGTGATGCTGATGAAGGAGACGGCGACCGACGACGATGACCGAAGCGATGGCGGCGCCCGACTGGACACCCGCCGGCGGCGGCGACGCAAAGAACCACGCGGAGGCGGCGTTAGAGAAGGCGGCAGGCTACGGCGAAGGTGGCGGTGAAAAGAGGAGGTCCCAAGGGTCCTTTTATAGGGCTAAGCGGCGGCGATGGAGGCCCATGGCCGGCGGCAAGGAGATGGAAAGCTCTAGGGTTAGAGGAGAGAGAAGATCCGAATCGAGCTCAAATCCGTCGGTTTCCAAACGAAATTAGCCCGGGATTCCTAAAAAGAAAAGGAAGAGGAGATCGAGGAGATTATTTCCCCTCAATTGATTTGGCCGGAGAAGGAAAGGGGCGGCCGGATTTTGGAAGGAGGCGGCGGCGTCTTGCGGCGCTATAGGCGGCGGTTGGTAGCTGGAGGAGGAAGACAACCCTGACAGGTGGGTCCCGCCTGTCAGCGGCTGAGACAGAGGAGGGAGGGCGCGGCGGACTGGGCTGAACGGGCCGAGAGCAAGCAGGCCGAGGAGAGGGAGAGGGAGAGAAAGACTTGGGCTGACTTTCGGCCCAAAGCCAAAAGGGAGATTTAAAACCTTTTTCTATTTAAATTATTCATGAAATGATATTCTATTGATTAAAAATACTTCCATGGCTCAAATAAATCTCAGAAAAATCTAAGAACTATAGAAACAAGAGAAGTATTTAACAAAAATTTATCTAGCCCACTTTTATATTAAGATTTAACAAATTAATAAATTAGATCTTCTCTTTTAGGCTTTTAAGATCATTTCTAATAATTCTGTGCCATCTCCTGTTGATAGACATCCATAATTTCAGTTACGGCCTAGAAGCAGGTACAGTGGAAAGTTAATTTAGAGCTTGCATGTCAAAATGTGAGATTAAAAGACAATTGGTTGATAGTACTTGTTAATGACTTACCATAAAAGATGCAAAGTAACTTATTTATTTTGTCTGAGAGAAATTAATTAATATGCAGTGTTACCTCCTCAAGGAGTGGCGTCCTGGTGAGGCCTGGGGCAACACAGTTGATGCGGATGTTGTCGCCAGCCCAATCTGAAGCTAGGGCCTTCGAGAATTGATTCATTGCTCCTGCAAGAAGTGCAAACTTATGGGTGGTTTTGTTTTTCTAACAGTATGATTGGATGCGCAGACATTGGTCACACCACACTCCAACCACCGATGCACATCCATTTATCTTCTACGTGCATGTTAATAACAGGTTTATGACAGGCACACATATTTAGCCATATGAACAATCTTAAATAAAAAAGTTGACCAATAAAAAATTGAATATTTCTTCATTATACACAGGAAAATGTTATTAGTTTTTCTGAAAGATAGTCATGTGAGTTCTGAAATACTCCCTTTCTGTCAATGCGGATTTGTAAAAACAAAACCGACATTCATACTCTATATTATTGAGAACCAGCAGCATCACTACAAGTTCATTCTAGTATTAATGTCGGTTCCAACATTTGTTTTCATGGCAGTATTTTCTCTTATTTTACATTTGTTAATAATTAGGAAGGTAGCCCGCACTTTTAGGGGGCCATGCATAATCACTTGGGTGGATGTCCACATGTTTACTGCTTGTCCACATAAACAGTGATGAAATTTTTTAAAAAAATTCACAAGATAGATTAATATGAAAATATCACTCAACAAACATGCATGTTTAAATAACAAATTTAATTATAAAAATATGTATACTAATTATAGTATAATTTTTTATTTCTGTTACAACTTATCGAAGTTAAATTTAAATTAACTTGCATGTTTGTGAAGTGACATATTATATATTAATCTATATTATCTTTTTTTTTAAAAAAAATCATAACCTTGGGGATTAAAAGAATTTCCTATACATTGATAGATAATAGATAGATAAATGGACACATTTCAGGAAAATCTTATTCTTGTTATTGGAACTACCAGCACTGCTTTTTTAAAAACACATACTAATTTGTTTTCTTTTCATTTCAGGAATTTGCGGCTTGCTAAAACACGTGCCAATGACATGTGGAGCTAGCTATTTCTATGCTATTTTACCAACTTATAAGTTATGATATTTTTTGCAATTATCTCAATAACATATGTCATATATAATATAAATGAGTAAATTCCCTGTATGCATGTCAAAACTGACTCAATCCCTTCCATGCCCTCCAGTTTTCACCAATCCCGTGTGTACCCTCGAGATTTTGCTGTGTTCCCTCCCATGTCCTTACCGTTAGGCATATGTTAGATCTGTTAGTGCATACATCCATTACGTTGTCAGTAATTTCAAAAAAGACCAAAATGCCCAGCGAAACCCTAGGTAACAACCAACAAGGCAGCAACAGTGAGAAATCCCCAAATAATCTCCAATCTCTCGTCTCCCCTCGACGCGGGCGGCGCCGTGCGTCGCCGCCGCCGTCCTTTCGCGGCCGTCGCCAACATTCCTCCCGTGGCCACCGGCCTTGCGCTCCCGTCCCCGCCGTCGATTCGGTGCTGGTGGTCCTGTCGCCCTCGAGCTCTCGTCGTCGTTGTCGGCGGCGGCTGCGGCGGCGGCTTCGGCTCCCATCGGCTCCGGCGACGGCGGCTTCAGCTCCCTTCGGCCCTAGCGACGGCAGCCAATCGACGCTGCAGGTGCTGTCCAGGCAGCAGCCGCCTTGTTGACAGAGCTCTCAGCGGCGGCTGCTGCTGGCCCCCGAGCTCCCATCCCCTACTGCTCCCATTCATCCGACTAGGTTGATTTCTTTCCTATGTAGATGTGTATGATTTCTTCCCTTCTTCTTGACTGTTAATATTGAGAAGGGAATGCAAGATGTGCAGGTATTGATCAACTGTTACGTTCACTTTTTCAGACATTTAGTGTGATGTGCCATGGGTACTGTTTACTGTGTAATTTGGCCATGTGATGACATGTACTTAGTGTGTGCCTTTCCCCATTATCATGAGAAAATTAGCGTAATGACAACCTTGGTTAAAAAGCTTGGTCATATTGTAAGAACCAAAATTACATGCAGTAGTGCTTAGCTCCTGTACAGATCTAGTAGTTTTCACCTATCATAGTTTATTTCAATCTAGACTGTACTTAAAGATGTTAATTAATGTAGATCTGTACTTTATTTCTTATTCCTCCTATAGTTAATTAGTAATGGTAATTTATTCCTTCTCTTGTGTGTGAGAGTTTTTTTAGAGAACTTGTGTGTGACAGTTGTGAACCACATCCACCTCGAATGGCAAATTCAAGGCTTAGCACAGTTCCTTCATGGCTACCAATAGGGTAAGTGACTTTAACTTGCTTGTTAATAAGTTTGTTGTCGTTGGAATAAATTTGGTTGATAGGTTGATAGACAACTCCGATGTTCATCCACAGGATGGACCCCATAGCTACATATTTGTTGGAAATTAAACCAGCGGGGGATCGAAAAAATGCTAGGGTGGAATATGATTGGTTTATATTCAGTAAGGTGGTAGACTCAAATGTATTGTGCTACAAAGACTTTGTTGATGACATTGCAAAGTCATATCCATGGGGGCCAAATGAGACTGTTACAATTGACTACATGGATTTGGTTGATAAAACCTCTCATCATGTCAAAACTGATCAGGACATGATAGCAATGTTTGAAAAGTTCATTGATATCAAGGTGATTCCAATGATTATTCGTATACATGGTATTGATGAAAATATTGATGAGTTAGACCACACTCCTGATAAAGTAAACATAGACGTGTTCGATACTCCTTTGGCAATTCCCTCTCAAGTGGATTTCAGCCAACCTAGCAGCAGCACTCAACCTTCTCGTGTCACTGTGCCATCCAACACATACTTAGTAAACCTTTTTCCAATGGCTGAGCATGTTGGTGTGGATGATGAGGGCATGTACTTAAATGATGTTGAGGAAGCTGCTGCTGGTCATGCCGAGGAAACTAGAGGTAAAGAGGTTGTCAATGAAGACTCTGAGGATGAATCTTATTTTGCATCTAAGGATGCATCTGAGGATGAAACTGAGGATGCATCTGAGGATGAGTGTGTGGATGAATCTGAGGATGAGGGGATGGCATTGGATGAGATGCCAGAACATCTTCCTACCATAACCTATGATAAAAATGATCCACCAATGATAAAAGGCAGCACTTATCCTAACATTGATGAATTTAGATTGGCAATAGCACAACATGCAATAAAAAAGGAATTTTAATATAACATTATCAAGAGTGAACCAGGGAAATTTACTGCAAGTTGTGCTGCTGAAGGCTGCAAATGGAGGATTCATGCATCTGCGGTTGCTGATGGTGTCACCATCATGGTAGGTTTCTATTGTACATCAACATATATTCTTTAAATATTGCAAAATATGTGTTTTATTGTGGTATTGATTATCTATGACATTTTAGGTAAAAACTAATCTTGTTGCCCATGGATGCTCAAGTACTAGAAGAAGTGAAACTATCAAGGCTGCAAGCAAGTTTTGGATTTGTGAGAAGGTGAAAGATTGGTTGTTGGAGGATGCTACTGTTGGAGCAAAGGAATTGCAAAGAAGGATTCATGAGACACACAAGGTTTTGATCAATTACAAAAGAGTGTTTGTTGGTAGAGAGCTTGCTCTTACAAAGTTGTATGGGAGCTGGAATGAAAGTTTTGACATGTTGTATAGATACGAGGCACAAATTGAATTATTAAGCCCTGGTAGCTTTTTCATCATTGACCATCACAAGGTTCTAGAAGAAATAAGGTTCAGGAGGTTATTCTTTGCCTTAAAACCATGCATTGATGGTTTCCTGTAAAATCAAAGGTGTTTTTGATTATTATTCTGTGATGAACAATTGGGCATTGGAGATTATTGGTTTTGTTATTTGGAATTTATTCACGAAGTGGTTTTGGAGATGATTGGAATTTACAGGTGAATCTAAAGGATGCTGTTATTTTATGTGACCGGTCAAACCGGGCTGTGTATGCCGGTCAGACCGGCGGTGATCGAGCGGTCGGACCGGCCAACCCGCGGTCTGACCGGCCGACGCTGTGTCGGTTTCAGTTTCGGGTTGTTTGTTTGGATATCCGTGATTATTTCATGATTATGGCTTCTAGATGGGTACTATACGTATGTAATACTGTTGTTTGCTACTATGAGTCAAGTTGGAGATAACTTGGTCTCGGAATATGGTTTCTTTGTTTATTTCATGTGTAGGTGACTTGATGCCTCGGGAGAGTATTTGCGGTGATGGACTGGGAGTCGGCTTGGGGATAAGACGACGTCCGTGGTGGTCAGAGATCATGCGGGATACTTAGTCTAGAGTTGATGCACGTGGTTGATGGAGATTCCATATGGCATACGATGGAGGTATTGTGTGCGTATGGGATGTGGAGTCGAATTTGGAAGGAGTCCAAATTTGGTACGATTGGTTATGTAAAGTTTCTTTCTTGTACTAAAGGGTTTTCTAAGGTGTTTTAGGACTCTTAGTATGAGTTTGGTTCGTGGCTTTAGGCTGCCTACCTCATGTATAAATAGAGAGGGAGCGTGAGGCTTCCCGGTATCGCTTTAGAGAGCAATTGAGTTGAGTTTTGAGTTAGGGTTTTGAGTTTAGTCGAAATTTTTGTAAGGAGAGCTCTTGGTGCACTTTGTAAACACAGAGAGAATCAAGAAAGATGTCATCTACTTTAAAAGTTCTTCGATTTGTGTTTACCGGGTTTCGGCGGTCTAACCGGCGATCTACCGGCGGTCAGATCGGCGGCAAGCGGCGGTTAGACCGGCGGCATATGGGCGGTCCGACAAGCGCGGCAGGCGACTACGGCGGTCAGACCAGAGATTCAACACCGGTCAGACCGGCGGCATCCACACGGTCAGACCGGCAGATCAATCTCGGTCAGACCGACTTCCGTCGATTTCGAGGGTAACTTTTATTTCCGCTAAAAGTTTTCGGTTTTTGGGTATACCAACCATTCACCCCCCTCTGGTTGGCTTAGTTCTTGTGATTCGATCCTACATTTTCTTGGTGGTTGCAGGCCATATTTGGCTATAGACAGTACTTTCTTAATAGGCAAATTTAAGGGACAGCTAGCAGTTGTTTGTGCTATAGATGGCCATAATTGGATGCACCCAGTTGCTTGTGGTATATTTGACTCAGAGACCAATGAAAACTGGATATGGTTCATGCAGCAACTTAGAGATGCAATTGGCACTCCAACAGGCTTGGCTATTTGCACCGATGCAGGAAAGGGGGTAGATAATGCAGTGAATGAGGTAATTTATGCCTTGTGTGGTTTGTACGTTTTGTTATTTCTTTTGAAAAATAGCTAACAAGCATTACTATTTTTCTCCTTTGTTTTAGGTCTTCTCTTCTGCAGAACATAGGGAGTGCATGAAACACTTGGTCACTAACTTCAAGAAGAAGTTTTTTGGCAAGGTTTTTGATGACAACCTTTGGCCAGCAGCATATGCATGGAGCGCTTCTTTGAGAAGCACATTGCAGCCATGCAAAAAGCTAAACCGGAAGCGATGTCATACCTGAAGAAGTATCACAAAAGGCTATGGAGCAGGAGTCAGTTCTCCACAGTTTGTAAGGTTGACTATGTCACAAATAATCTTGCAAAGAGCTTCAATAATATGGTCAAAGACTGGAAGGGACTCCATTTATATGACTTCCTAGAGAAGATTCGGCGGTGGATGATGGTCAAATGGGACAAGAGGCGAAGAATATGTATGAAGTTTGAAGGTCGCATTCTACCTCATATTGTGAAGGAACTGAATGAAAAAAGCCGAGATTTGGACATGGTGGTCACTAGGAATGGTGATTTTGAGGCAGAAGTAGAAGTGAAAGGGGGTAGTGGGTTCAGACATGTTGTCAATTTGGAGCACAAAACCTGCACATGTAGGGAATTTCAAGTCTTAGGAAAACCTTGTCTCCATGCTATAGCATTTATATTACATCAATTAGAGGAAGGCTTGAAGATTATGTGGATATCTGCTTTAGTGTGCATCAATTCAGGACAGCATATGATAAATTGGTGCCTTCATTGCCTGACAAGTCTCAATGGCCAAAGCTAATCATGGGTTCTTCTTGGCACCACCCATTTTGAAGAGATCAGCTGGGAGGCCAAAAACTATGAGGTACAAAGGATGCACTGAGAAAGGAAGCAAAAGAAGTGGGAGGCACAAGTGCCCAATTTGCAAGACCTATGGCCATCATTGGAACAATTGCAAAGAGGGTGATCCGGAGCAACTAGCGGCAATGCTTGCTGAAAGGTAACTACACGTCTTACAAATTTCCATTATGTTTCTTATAACCTTAAGACATATATTTTCTCCTTTTCATAGAGGGCCGCCAAAGAAGAGAAGGAAGAAAACTAATAAACCTCCCTCAGAGACTAGCATCATAGTTGCTCCAACATTTACACCGATAATGACATATCCCCCTAGGTTAGCCAATATCCTTCTTTATCTTATTCTAATCTGAATTTAGATCAGCCTTTGTACATAACAATTAATTCTGCACATCTAACCCATTTATTCCAGTGAGGACAATATGACAAGGAACAATAGCTTGGATTCAAGTAAATCAGTTAGGTAAGTACTTGTGCCAATTGTTAGTATTATTTTGCTTTATCCAATCCATTTGCATTTACAATTATGTTTTTATAGGTCTAACTCACTTACTGGCTCCAACCAACCTGAGCCTTCCAACATGATTATAGCACTGCCACCCCTTGGAGAGCAAACACCACCACCTGCACCAACAAAAGCCAAGCGCAAGACGAAAGGAAAACCACCATCTGATGCTGCTCCTGACAGCCCAGCTATGGGCACAAGGAGCAAAAAGAAGAGCCCTGCAATGAGCACTAGAAGCAAAAAAAAAAAAAAAAGCTTATGGACTAAACTATGGATGTAGCTAGTTGGTTTAGTTTCCTTTTGGCACTATTAAATTAGCTCATGTACTAGATAAGTGATATAACAATATTACTGGTATATTTTGTTGTTATGAGGTCCTGTAAGTGCTGAAATGATGCCCAGGATTGCTTGCTATGGCCATGTATTGTTATGGCAGCTAGGTACTCTGCCATATTTTGCTACTGTAATGCCCAGGATTGCTTGCAATGGTGATGTACTATGGCAGTGATGCTCACAACGTACACAATACTTGCCTTGTTATTTTAGTTTGTCCTTGCATTCGTTTTATGGCCATGATGCTTATGATCCACACAGTGGTGTGTGCATGGATGATCCCCGTAGTGCCTTGTCAAATTCCCTATAAATTGCTGGCCATTCTATAAATTTTCTATGCACTTATTATTTTCTGTGCACTTATTACTCAGTCTCATATAATATGATGCACTCATTCATATTTTAGTCTTTCTCAACCTCTCAAATACAATCGGCCACTAAGAACTCAAATTGCACACTTAAGGGCATAATGGATATTTCCAGGTAAATTAACCAGTCAATGCTGTGAGAACTAATGGTAGAGACATGGGAGGGATCGCAGCGAAATCTCGAGGGCACACAAGGGATTGGGCAAAATTGGAGGGCATGAAAGGGATTGAGTCAGATTTGAGGTGCATACAGGGAATTTACTATTAATTGAATGTTTACTGGTGAAAAAAATGCAAGACATGGAAATTAATTCAGACAATGTATTCATTTTCAATAATTTACCTTTCGCAGCTGAATATACGGCAAGATAAGGGTACGCGAGGTATGAAGATATGGAGGAGATGTTGATGATGCTGCCCCTTTCGAACGCCTTAAGCAGAGGATGTAGGAGCTGGCTTAAGTGGAAGCACGACTCGAAGTTGGCCACAATCTGTTGTGTGTAGTCACTTGTGGTTGTCTCCAGGGTTAACTTCGACAAGGTCAGCCCCGCGTTGTTCACCTTCATGTTAATTTGGTCAACAGAAACTTTATTTCCAACTAGAAAGGTAGCCCGCGTGTTCGTGCGGACATGTGTATTAGTTTGTTTTCATAATACATTTAAAAAAATTAAGTTAAAACTAAAAGTAAGATGTTTTTGTTTTTCATTGAGTGTCTGTTATCTATTTTCTTTTAAGAAATCTTGTTAAACTTTTATTGTTAATCAATGTATTTTCTTTACCATCGAGTCCTTGCTTTAATTGGTTCATACGCACGCAATTTATTATGCTTGTGTGTAAAGTAGCAACCACATAGGAAATATACATACCCTGGACAGTGCTCTCTATAATACGTGGGAGCCGTATTGTATCTTTAATAATAACATATAGTCAATGTGCCTTAAAATATTAATTTAATAGAAAGAAATATAAAAGGCCACTACAAACTATAGGACTTCAGATTTCAGTAAAAAAAAAACTATAGGACTTCAGGACTTCATGGATTTATCATTAGCCTTCGTATCTTGACAGGTGTGTCAAAGCAAAAGATGACTTGTATGAAAAAAAAAAAACTCTTCGTAACCTACTATGGGCATGAATTAACTATGATTGCATAATCTTTGATGCTAAGGCTACAATGCCTACCCTATTTATCTTCTTTCTATGAAACAAATAGGCATATTACAATATTGTAATTTATTATGTCCATTTTAAACACTAAATAATTCTTAATTTCCATGTTTCCAAAATAAAAATTATTTGGTGGATACAGTTTTCTTGCAACTCTAGATATTGTGCTCGATGGCTATAAAAATAATCCATCTAAACTTGTTGCAACTTTTCCCTACCACCCTGTTGATGCATTATTCATCGGTTATTAAGACCGGTCCACTCACTCCCTTATCTCTCATGTGGGCAGCCAGGCTTACAGAGGGAAAATTTTTATTTTTCGAAGTCCAAAATTATTATCATTGTATGTGTCTCATGGCTGTAATTTTATCGGAGTTGTCACATTATCTATCTAATATAGTGGTGTTCTTTTATTAAGTAGTTAATCTTGATTTTTTTTATTTTAGTACATCATAAAATTTAAATTGATCTTGAAGTTGGTTCAGCATGTGTATGGAGAACGAACATGTTTGTAACCTACTAATGTTCATATATAAGAATATTCACATTCACATTTACAATGGTTTAGGCATATAAAATAGTCAAGTTTATCTTTATATATATGAAAGGTATAGAGGGAACATATTCTATGCACACAAGCTTACCGTGCACACTCTGTGCACACCAACTAGCAAATATCACGAAAAATTCTAGAAAAAAATGGACACATACTTACAATTGTATTACAAATATCTGCAAAGTCTCATATTTAAATTTATTATATTTTAGCCGTAAGAAAAAAGTGAAACATCTGACAGTTTTAAAGGTAAAAATCTATCAGAATTTTGTCTTTTTTGTTACGGCTAAAATATAATGAATTTGAATACAAGATTTTACATGTAGGTGTAAAACTATTGAAAGTATGTGTCTAATTTTTTCTAGAATTTTCTATGACATTTGCTAGTTGTTGTGTACGGAAAGCTTGTGTGCATAGGATATTGTCGGAGGGCAACCTCCTCGAGCAGGGGACCATAAGGCCCCTCCTTTTCAGTTTGACCGGGGGCAGTGGGTGTAGATTGAGGAACTGGGTGTACTAGAAGGAAACAAGGGGGTTCGGGGCCATGGTCTAGCGGTTCGGGCCGCCGAGAAGCGTAATACCTTACTCCTAGGTATGATGATTTTTCTGAGCTTTGAAAGTCTCTGAATCTCTGGTGTATAAGCTAGGGTTGAGTGTTCTTACTCTAACTTGTCCTCTCCTCTCTCACTAGACGTCCACCCCTTTTATACTCTAAGGGGTTGTTACATGAGTTGTACGTGTCCTCCAGCAAGAGAGTAAACATTCTCCATATTGAACGTGTGTCTTGTGCTACATGCGCTACAGCTTGGAAATTCTCCACATCGGCAGTCGAGCGGCCCCCATCAAATCATGTAGGCTGACACAAGCCGACATGGAGAAGGATCCCTGTCATTCTTCATTTAATGGTTATAGATTTGAGGCTCGTATGCGCCGGGAACACCGTCCCGGGCGCTGCGCCTCCCGTCATCTTGATGGGACATGGCATACCTACCGCATGGCGAGGCACGCTCGCTCTGCCCGCTCCGCCCGCACTAAATGCGGTTAAGTGGGCGTGGAGGGGCGTCCACGAATCGTCTTTGCATGGTGGCCACGTGGTGACCAGCCCGAGGGGTCGGGGCAGCCCGACCCCTCGGGTTAAGAACGGGTGGCTTCCGCTCGTTCACGGGCGCGACACCTCGGGGTGAGCGCCACGTGGATGCCAAGGGCGGCTCCTCCCTTCTAAGCTCGGTACTCCCGGTACCCCCGGGCCCATATCACCGACATATATGTTCTCATGTATAAAAGCCATAGCAGCATTCATCTTTATCCATCATCTATAATGTACTACTCCCTTCGTCCCAAAATACAAAGGATTTTGGACAGACAGGACACTCTTCAGTACTGTCTAGATTCGTTGTACAAGAATGTGTCCCATCCGTCTAAAATCCCTTATATTTTACGACGGATGGCATAAAAGTTTTTTAAAAAATTTCTCTAAGTCCATTAAATGGCAATGTATAATATATTTTAGAGCGCATACATTAAAGATGAGTAACCAGATAAGACATAAGTTGAGCACATTTCAAAATACATAAATAACTGGATACCATTGATCCAAATAAAGGTGCAATCTTTTATGCTGTTATGCTATTCATAGTTAAATTTATTCTTTTCTCACATATATACAAATTATATATCAAATTTAGCTATGTATGCAAACTAATATATGATAATGCAACATATGTTGTTAAATTATTTCTCAATTATGCATTTTTCAGGAATGATTTAAAATGGCATACTACATGTTCACTATCTTATAATATTTCATTGCAGTTGCTAGATAAATTATTCTTTTATATCAAAATTTATTTATGGTTGAGTTTTTTTTCATCTAATTTAGCTATGCATGTTTGTTAAATGGTTTAAAATGGCATAATATAAGTTTGCTTTTTTATAATATTTCTTTGATATTTGGTAGCTATGTAAAAGATATAGTACTGGAATCAGAGGAAAGATATATTTGGACCGAGGACACTAGGTAGATTATTCGTTTATACCTAATTTATTTCATATTAACAAATTAATGTATCAGGAAATAATTACTCTCTCCCCCGTTCCAAAACAACTTTGTTTTTTACCTATCCCATAAATATCAATACTATTCCAAAAAAGTAAAATAGCCTACTTTATCAAATCCCAATGTAATTATTTTTCACTTATCTTTCCAAGGATTAATCTCTTACTTTTACAAACTCGGATTAAATACTTGCTCAAAAAAGTACTTATTTTGGGGCTAACGAGAGGGGAAAAAAACCTATTCCTGAATTTTTTTTATTCTTGGTTCACATTAAAAAGAATATACAGATAGTGTAGATAGCGTATATGCCCGAATATCGTATTATAATTTATATGTAGCAAAATATGGCAATATAGATCTTGAGTTATACATTTAGTTATAAATAAATTAATAACTCAAAGACAACTGAAATTAGATATGTGTATTGAGTTATGATCATTTAGCTATCTAATTATTTTTCTTTTAGTGTATGTAGTTGTCATAGCATCGATGCGCACATATTGAGAGGAATGTAGATGATTTAATATGACACCATATTTAAACATAGCTGTGCATATCACTTTAAAAATAGAGAATTAATGGGGCCAAATAACATATACATTATTGAAATTCTCACAAATTTGCTAAAAAAATATGACACCATACGTGGGCTTGATTTCAATCATTTCTGTCATTATGTTATTGCTACCTCCTTGCTCTTATCTCCTATAAATACGTCATAAATTGTTTTATTCTAATTCTCTTATGCAGTATATATGTCCTCGAAGAATTACAGTATAAGTTTTAAGATTTATGATTACAGGGTAAGTTTTATCGTTTACAATGTAAATGCTACATACAGCGCCACATAAGAAAATCAACTCAAAATTCAATGTCACATGGAGGAAAAAAAGCAAAGCTTTCTCTGTGGATAATAATGTGACCGTTTTGAGCACAATTTGGAGCACCAATTAGTTTTTTTTTCTTTCCGTGTGCCTCCAATTGGTGCTATCCCTGTAGTGCTACACATCTTATAATTTCATTCACATTTTTTTAATGTTTTTACAGGCACTATTTGGGTTTAGGAAGACGATAATGAACTACCAATCTGAGATTTTCTTGTTTATGAATGCCACCAGAAACTTCAATTCTTTTTAATAACTTAGGTATTGTCTAGATTGATGACATTTCAAATCATATCATTTTTTATAGGGTTGCCAAATATATGCATCCATTTAGTTTGTTGCCAAATTTTAATAAATACATAAGAAATTCTATCAAAATTTTAGTAATATTACCAAATTGTGAAAATCTGATAAGATTTATTTTAGAGTAAATTACATCAGAGGTACATGAACTTGTTTGAACTTGTTAGGTGGGTGCAATGTGAACAGCCCCCCTTATTTTACATATACCGTTGGATCGCTGGAAATCATGGTGGCAAGAGATTATGAGACTTACAAGGATATTGAGTTTGCCGCCGAAGAGCTCGCGCACCCTGCTGACGAGCTCCTCCCTGTCAGTGCGCACCGACACGTCGCAGACAGAGAAGGAGACGGCGAGGCCCTTGGCCGTCAATTCCTCCTGGCATCTGCTCAGCTCCGCCTCGCTACGGGCGCAGGTGTGCACCGTCGAGCCGAACCCAACGAGCTCCTCCACGATGGCGCGGCTGCACATACGCGCGCGCGCGGTGAATTTTTGCACGGAGGATTATTCGGTATTCGATCAAACACGGAATGAGCGCATATATATTTGGGTGAGAAATCACCCGGATTTGGATGATATACATTACCCGATGCCTTTGCTGCGGCCGGTGACTAGCGCGGTGGCGCCGGCGAGGATCCACCTCTCGTCTCTCCCGGCGCCACTGCTTGCCATGTTTCTCTCGCACTGATTTTGCATAAAGGAAACCGTTCATGTTGTACTAATACTAGTAATCATACACGTGCAAGGCACGTTATGTTCAATATATAAATTAAACCCAATATATTATAACCTAATAATCTGAAAGAAGAATAGGTAAATAGGAAATAGATCATAAGAAAGAGGATCTGCTTCAATCACACTTGAAGCTCTAACGATTCCCCGCTGACTTATGCACAATCTGCACAATTTTCATAAAGTGCATGCATATATGCATTCTGATTTTCATATTAGATACAAGAATTTGCTAAAAAATAAATATGATCTTCAGCCAATGTGCAGAGATATGCATAAGCCAATATGCAGAGGTAATGTCTGAGAAAACAATGGAAGAACATTAGATTGATATCTCAAAGGAAGAACATACATAGCACAATAAATTATTGAAATGGAAGTGGCCACTAACACTAATTATATTTCATAACAGCAAACACTACATAGCATAAACCAAAATCCATACTATGATATTGATGCACATTATTTAGGGGCAATATCTTAAAATTATTGAGTTGTGCACATTTTGTCCTATTATTATTATGCCTAAGGGGTGGAGGGTATACCAATGACTTCAACTCCTAGAGGGATAGTTTATCCCTTGTTGCCAGTGCACTTCTTTTTTGGCAATGGCTCAATCACCACTTCATTATCTTCAACTATCACCACTTCTGGTTTTCTTGGAGCATTATTTTGTTCTGCCGGTTGCAGTAGCTCTTGGTTCCTAAAGTTCACACCAATCTTAATGGCATCATGCAGGACTGGTTCTTTGAACATGGAGTTTCTCACCTCTGCATCCATTAGAACAAAGATTACAAACAAAATATGCTAGAACAACAAAAAGAAAAGTGTCCTAATCAGTATTAGTTTTAGAATTGCACTCAAAAATAAATTGGAATTGACTTACTTGGAATCCATCAATGTGACCTTTCTAACACTGTTTGGAAAATTTGCATAATGGTCTACAGGGCAACATCTGTACAAATGTAAACATGTTTCAGAGTTAGTTTCAGCAAGAAAAGAACAAACACAAAATACACTTGTGGTTCAATATACCATACCAACAATTGCGCCATTAGGCAGACTGAAAACTTCAGCAAAAGTCATAGCTGATTCTCAGAAGAGAGACCTTACTAATGATCTATGGAAGAGGAAAGATGAGAAGAAATGCAGTGGCGATGTACTGTACCGAAGTAGTGGGATTGAGGCTAGCTTTATAGGGGGGACGGATTGGGAGTAAACAGTGCCTTGTGTCCGCGGCGCTCCAGTGATCCGTTGGCCAGAAACGATGCTTTCCTGTTTTACAATGTTGATAACAAACCTTCCACTGATGAACACCTCTTGAAATACACAATTAGATTGAACCCCTAAAAAACGCAAAGAGTAATTTGATATTACAAATTGATTCCACAGGATATTACCAGGTGTGGAGGAAGACATAGGTGTGGAGGATGGCACTGGCTGAAATGATGGCTGACAATTTACAGTTTGGCTTCCTTCATGCAAACTCTGATTCAAAACTACAATCCAATTGAACTAGCCCAGGTTTTAGCATTGTTTGCCATAAATTAAGCTTGACCATAATAAGCATCGAATGAATATATCATCACCTGTGCCCGATATAGATGCAGAATTCTTCCTCTCCCTGTTTTCACGGTTCCTTTGAACCAGCGCAGCCTTCTCCTCAACGCTGAGTGCCGTGTACCGCTCTCAGGCTTGCTGACTTTTTAATTCCTTCACAGTTAGTTTAGGAACGCCGTCCATCGCAAGGATGTACAACCTTGAAGAACACACCATGAGCATATAAAAGCAGTTTTAATATGCAACAGGTTCTCGTTAATATTGATGACAGTCCGCTCGCTATAACAAAATCCCAAATCCACATTTCGTAAGCATCAATTAGGACCTACATGTTACAGAATAACAAGACCTACTGAGGACTTTTCATTTTCTAAGAATCAATTTGAACCACGTTAATAAGAACAACCGGAAACAATTTTTTCAGCTTCAAACTGGAACAAAAATATTTACCAAGGTAGTATAATGGTCCATAATTCACATTTCTTGTAGAATAAAAGAATCATCGATAGTATTGTAACTGAAAACAATATTTACTCGAAGGGAGTGTGTGAGTTGCTCCCAATAATCAAGCAACTTATTAAGTTAAATGAGATAAGTACTTGAAAACAATATTTGCTCGAAGGGAGTGTGTGAGCTGCTACCAACTAAATCCCTTGTGTGAAATTGTGAAGCTTCTTCCTGCACAACAGTATAGCATCACGCCTGAATCTGTACGGAATATTAGCACAGTGATGTATGTGCAGTTCATATTAATTTTGCTAAAAACAAAGAGAGGAGAACCATGAAGCAATTATAACCTTGCACTGCTGAAACTAAAAACGTTAAGACAAATGGAAATCAAAACATAGGCAGTCTGTTAGTATATTCTATGGCCTGAACTACTAAATTAAGTTCATACTGTCCATTTTTAGAGCTGACATATATGGAGGACAAACAGAAAAAAAAATCCATACTACCCACATCGTGGGAAAAGAAATACAAGGCCCATTGCAAGCACAATTTCAGAGAGTAATTTCGTAAGCATTGCAAATCCAAGAACAAAAACATTGATATTTGAATGGCCAATCCATATATTGCATAGCCAAGCTCATAATAAGCACAGTGATGTATAGAATGGTGATGCTTTACACAAACCACACAGCAGATGGAGAGGAGGATGGCAGTGAGCTGAAGGGGAATTGTTTGGCAGTCAACAAAGAAAGACCATCAAATTGTATAATTAAATGATGAATCGAAGCTGCAAGATAGAGTCTGATTACCTGTACGTCTCAACGATGTTCAGATTCCCTCCTATTGTTCAGCACCTAGGGTATAGGCACATTGGCCAAGTACAGCTGCATGACAGGAGATGGGCAGCGGAGCGAGGCAGCAGAGACAACGTCGACGATGGCGACAGGGACTGCGGTAGCGGCGGATGGGGAGGACGTCGGCTCCGGCTGTGGCCGATGGGGAAGAGGCCGGCCGCGGCGGTGGGGAAGAAGGAGGCGGCGGCGGATGGGGTTGAGGTTGCCGCGGCGGTGGAGAAGAAGCAGGATCCGGCGGCGGCGTCTCCGGCGAGGATGCGGCGGAGCGGCGACAGAGCTCCGGCGAGGATGTGGCTTCAGTACACATGGGGAGGAGGAGAAGCGAAGTAGCGAAGTCTGCGTGCGTGGAGGAGCAAAGTCTTCGCATCCTGCGGTGGGGAACGAAATCATGCGTTGGTGAATGAAATCGCGCGGATGGACGGTAGGGATTCATCCAAGTGATTTTGGACCGTAGGATTGGAGGGAGGCAACTCCTCCTTTTTATATTAGTATAGATATAGATATAGATAATTTGCTGTATTAGAGAGACAGAGAAACAGAGATTTCTCGTTGTCAGGTTGATCAGATGTCAACCTCGTCCACACATACGTCGTCCAGCGAGCGAGTGATAGAGATATCTACATAAAGCTTAGTACGGGTGCATGTCATTTGTGACAAACCTACGTGTTAGGGACCCAATATCTTTTTGCATGCTTCTAAAATAGGACTTTTGAGGGTCTAAATTTGGATACCTCTTGGAGATGCTCTAACATATTTTCATGCAATTAATCTCACTAGTAATATGTCCGTGCTAAACGCTACGGTGTAACTCTATTTATCTTTAATAAATATCGCCAATACCTATATTAAAAGATGGATTTTCACGTCTTTCTTTTACATATTTGACAGACAAAAAATATATTTTGTTTGTCTCATTAATTGAATTCCCCTATTTTTAAAGCACTACAATGTGATTCATGTCACATGAGAACTTTATTTCCATGTAGTAATTAAATAATTTATTTCACAATCATGTCGTGCTTTTTATGGCGTGCATTCGATAGTTAGTGTATTTAAGGATTTATTTGTATTCATATTTAAATGGGCAGACCAATTTAATTTTTCATATGTATGAGTATAATATATTTTGAAAAGCACCACATCGGCGAATTAAGAAAATTACCGTTCTCGGAATCAATTCAGAGGGAAGGAAACATTGAAACATACGGATCCATCGAATTTCATCAAAGCTACAGAACAGGCCTATGTATATTAATTGGATGAACAAATTGAAGAGCTACAGCCCACCAATTTCACCCGTATTTTCGAGGTTCCATTTGCACTCGCTTTTGCCGCCTCCTATATATCAAGCATGAAAAAATTTCACAAGTCAAGGCTATTCAAGTCAAGCAGCTTTCTAATCTTCTTTTCCTATTTTGCTAGCCACTTTTAGAATAGCCACTTTTAGAAACACATCTACTTGGTTCGAGGCTCCATCCTATTCTTCTCTAACAATCGCTTGCTGAGCTGCTTTCATTCTGCAGCACAAAAGACATAAAAAGGATAAATACCCAATACTGCACACACAGCAGTTACATCAGCTAAATGGCATGTCGAAACATGAATTCGGCAATAATAAAAGGGGTAGTGCATGAGACATAAAAGTAAATGGATGCGGAGATAATACCTTAATGAGAGATAATACCTTACTCCTGTTTGAGGATTTGAATCCGTCGGGTGTAGTATAGATCTGACGATCATATGTGCTCATGCCCCCTAGAGGGCCTCCTGCTCACCTTATATAGGATGGGAGACAGGATTACAAGATAGAAACTTTAACCAATACGGTATCGGTTTCCTAAATCTATTTTACAATATTATCAAATCAAGAATTTAGGCCGCTCCATAATATAAAAGGAAACATAATACCCAAATCATAATTTGTTACATATTCCATACATATAAGCTATCCCCAATAACTAGTCGGATAACCATGCCGTGTGGGTATGGGGTACCCATAATCTCCACAGTAGCCCCTGAGACCTTCACAGTCGAAAAGATAATCTTATCTCGAACTAGATTACTCCAAAGCCAAGTGCTTCAATCATCTTTGCCATGGTCTCCCGAGTACTTTTACCAAATCTGAAGACTGTGGAGGGCTGAAAAATAAAGTTAGGTGCATCGACTAGATGCACCTAATAGGTGTAGCCCTCGACTATGTGGTTAATTGAACAAACCAAGGAAAATAATCCAACCAACCGAGTGGTTTCGATAATTGTAATCAACCAAGCGACTTGATATTAATATGTAGCATATGCGGTGTGAATCCCCGAATAATATAATCCAAGTGATATACCGACTGCTTTATAAAACATGATGCGTACAACCTAAAGTTGACTACATCATTGAAAATTCACATAGCAAAAATAGCTATAAAGAACCTTGTATGCTGTGAATAAAGAATTTTCCAAAGTATTGGGCATACGCCATACGCACACTGCTTTAACAGATGTGCTTAAGTCCCTAAAAGACACATAGTTTCACCACACCTGAAAATATATGGCATATGCGGTGTAACATCCGAGTAAATAAACTCATAAAGGATTTACCAACCGCCTTGAAAATGACCACAATATATAATCAGCCTAAGCCATAATATTGGTCAATAAAAAGGCACACTTACATGACAAAAAGCACTGATACCGTATTCAATCAATTGCTTTATTAACCCAAACTGCGCCTTGACTATATAAAAAAGTCAGCGGGGCAGCTATGAAAAACTTCACTGTTGGCTACCTTTTAAGATGCATTGTACTAACTCCTAAAAAGTTGAGTAACTGCGGTATAAAAGGATTTTAAGGTATTGGGCACTTGATCACGCGCACTTTGGCCTAAGCAAAAAGTGCCTAAGTCCCTAAAAGAACGTGATAGGCCACACCTGAAAATATGGGCTGCAGACATATTAGGCCTAGGCCAAAAAATATGCCTTCGACATCCTTTAAAGGATGACGCATGTAACATGCCCTCGGGTAATAAATCTTCCAGGTGATATAGACCAAGTGTAGCTCATATGAATAGCTTCTGATCTGAGTGATTATCCCTTATGGGATACTCCAAAATAGATATAATAATTGAATCCCGACTGGCGCAAGTATTCAGTTGATAGCCCTTACGGGGAATAATGATTAGTCGAGTCTTCGAGCATAGATAATAATCTCAGGACTACGTGTGCATATTGCCTGTATCTAGAACAAAGTCCAACTTGAAGGTATGATCCTTGTGTGAGTTGATAGGCCCCTGAGCATATATAGCTTGTCCTTCTGTCATAGTCAAAATTGTCCATTGGCAATAGCTGATGCAGTCGACATGGAGATGAAATGACCAACATGAAGATGATATTGCCCACCAGAGGTGGCAAAAATATTGGTGGTAGTGAAGATAGTGATACCAATCAAAAGTGACGAAGTTGCACAGCTATGGAGGTGAAGAAACCAGTCGGCAGCAGTCAGGTCAGCCATCAATGAAGATGCAAGCGCCCAGCGATAAAGTTGTGTAGCCATGGTAGTGAAATAATCAGTCGGTGACGGACGAGGCAGATCAAAGGCGATGACAAAATCCACCAATCATGAAGATGAAGAAAATAGTCGGCGACGACAAACGCAACCGACAGTAATGATGATAAGCAGCAACAGAGATGATCGACTATGGTGACGAAGTTGCCCATCAAACAACAGTAGAATAGGCTATGTTGAAGAGGCTTGACAGGATATTGATGAAGACGACGATGTCGGTGATCCAGTCGATAGTAGTGTAGCAACCAATGATAATGACGAAGACGCTCATCAGCATTTGCTTAGTAGGTCAACCGTGAAGGCGAAATAACAAGCCGACAATGACGGAAGCAACTGGAGGCGAAGACGTAGTCATCCATTAGCAACGGCAGAAATGTCAGGGCTGATGAAGTAGAGGAAAGTAAATGATGTTGTCCAACTCATCGAAACTGAGCTGATTGGTTGATAACTCAAAACTCCCAGACATATAGATAGAATCTCAAACTTGATATTTGAAAATTTTGGAGTAGATTGTGGCGGCATCCAGAAGCCAAAATTAATTGCCGGTGAAATAATAAGAATGGCTGAAGTAGAACGTCTACTCTGAAGTGAAGATGAAACTGATGACTCCCAAAGTAGATTCCACAGAACTCATTGGCTGATTAGAGAGTCTTGTATTTGTATAGCCCCCGACTCTTTGGTTAGTTGGGAAACAACTAAACATAGAGTCGAGAATTGTAGCTTCTTGTCGTCGAGTAGTCATTGCAATCAAAAGTGAAGATGCATGTCGAAGATGTCCGAGTAAAAATATTAAACATTTGAACACCACTTGTTGTAGTAAAATAGCACGGCATCATATTTGGTGACGCATGCCGAGATGTCGAAGCTCCTGTAGACGTCGCGGCTGGTGAAGTAGCAAAAACTTGCGAAGTAGCGGCAATTGAGTTTGCCGGTGCCGAAGATAATAAAGATGAAGTCGCTCCACCATGGTGACAAAGTTGCAAAGCCGTGATGAAGTGAACACAAGTCAGCGCCAACAGAAGCAAACTGGTAGCGAAGACGTGTAGTTGTGAAGATAAAAACACCAGTCGGCGGCGACATAACCAATTGACGACGGAAGAAGTAGAATGATGATGAAAACGAAGACGTCCTTGAATGGCGGCAAAATAGGCCAGCCATGAAAGTGAAGACACCATGGGCGGTGACAAAGGCAAACCGGCGATGACGATGACGCCAGTCAATGATGACTAAGATGTGCAGCCATAGTGGTAGCGGCATAAACCAGCCGTAGAAGCGAGGGCACTAGTCAGCAGCAGACAAGACGACTGGCAGTGAAGACAATAAGGTCAATCAACAGTGGCAGAATCATGCAGCCATGGAAGTGAAGAAACCAGTCGGCAGTAGACGTATACAGCTTGTGTTGAAGATGATGATGCCTATTAGCGGTGGCTGCGACGTGGCCTGCTGTGAAGACGATATCACCAGTTGGCATCATACGAGGCGGCTGGTCGGTGAAGACGTAGACGCCCAACAACGGCGGCATAATAGGCCAGCCGTGCAGGCGAAGACACCAGTCGGCGGCAGCAGAGGCAAGCCAGTCGGTAAAGACATAGACGCCTAACAACGATGGCATAATAGGCCAGCCGCGCAGGTAGAGACACCAGTCGGCGGCGGCAGAGGCAAGCCGGTCGGTGAAGACGTAGACGCCCAACAACGGCGGCATAATAGGCCAGCCGTGCAGGCGGAAACACCAATCGGCGGCGGCGACGACAAGCCGGTGGTGATGTTCTGACTGATCCATTTCTGGAGCGTAAGAGATAAGCTTAAAGCCATGAATCCCTTTTATGCATATCTGGATCTGGATCCTGCAGAACAAACATATAGGATGAGTAGTATCTGATGTAAATATAATACTCGAGAAAAATTCAAGTATTTTAAAAATTTATAAATATGTATTTCTCCTCTTGCCAATTTTGATTTCCCCGAGCAGATGACTCCGTACGTTTAAGCACTCTGTCCGACTAGTAATAGCCCCCAAGCATCGGGAGTCGGCCTAGGCACTTCCCAAACATGCATATGAGTGACATGAGTTCGTCATTAATGGAACAAAGTTTCACGAATCAATATTAATCTAGTATATGTAAAGAAATAAAAACGATGGTGTGACGAACCAACCGTATAGGCGATGACACTAGTTGGCGGCGATGGAGGCAAGCCGGCGGTGAAGTCGTAGACGCCTAACAACAGCGGCATAATAGGCCGGCCGTATAGGTGGAGACACCAGTCGGCGGCGACGAAGGCAAGCCGGTCGGTAAAGACGTAGACGCCCAACAACGGCAGCATAATAGGCCAGCCGTGTAGGCGGAAACACCAGTCGACGGCGACGGAGGCAAGCCGGCGGTGAAAGCGTAGATGCCCAACAACGTTGACATAATAGGCCAGCCGTGCAGGCGGAAACACCAGTCAGCGGTGACGGAGGCAAGCCGGTGGTGATGACGAAGACGCCCATCAGCGGCGGTGTGATCATCCAACCGTGAAGGCGAGGGCACCAATCAGTAGTGGCGGATGCCACATATGTAAAAATAACAGATCAAAAATAATTAGAGATCTGTGAATTAAATGACTAGAAAAATCAATATTAATCTAGTATATGTAAAGAAATAAAAACGATAGACCTGGTAAATGTTTGTCACCCAAACTCTTAATGATGCATGTACGTCATCGGCTTTACATGTATCAACCTGGTCAGCCTTGACGTTCATCGTTGACTGCATCTGACTTGAGTTAAAGTGGCAAAATAGGTACTGTGCAGGGCCAGATATGAGTCCGGAGTATGCATGGCTGAGTTCGATCAGTCGGCTCGGATTCCACATCGACTCCGATTCATGCTAATAGTTGAATCTCGCCGAAACTTTGATATTGACGAGAAAACATTGGCGCTTGGAATTTGATCGACCGACGCGAACCTGATTTCCAGGTTAAGCCCTTCGCACATTTCCCTGAACTTGTCAGAGTCGAACTGCTTGCTGTTGTCAGTGATGAACTCTTTTGGCACTCTGAAACGGCAAACAATGTTTTTCCATACGAACTTTTGTACTGCTGCCGAAGTGATCGCTCCTAGTGGCTCGACCTCAATCCATCGAGAGAAGTATTCGACGGCCACAATTGCGAACTTGTACCCGTTTTGTGCCACCGGGAACGATCCAATGATGTCCAGTCCCCATTTGGCGAAGGGCCAGATTGGCGCAATGGGCTGCAACTCATACTGGGGCGCAGTTTGGCTTCGGCCATGACGCTGGCAACTTTCGCACTTCTTGATTTGCTCAACACAGACTTTCAACATAGTGGGCCAGTAAACTCCTTGTCTAAACACTTTGGAGGCAACTGTTCTTGCAGCTTGGTGCGCGCCACATAGCCCCTGGTGAATCTCCTTTGCCATTTCCTCGCCTTCGGCGAAAGAGATGCAGCGAAGCAAGAGTTGAAGTACCCCGGAGCGATAGAGCTGGCCCAAGACCATCTTGTACTTTGTGGCTCTGTGCTGCAAGCGTTTTGCTTCTGCTTCATCTTCCGGAAGCCATCCGGTTTCAAGGTGTTTCACAAACGGTGTTCACCAGTTGCATGGGTCTTCGCCCAGTTTCACTTGGTCGATTGCCGTGACCTCCAAGATGTCCGTGGGCACACTTGGTGCATACAGGACTTCAAAAAAGATGTCAGGCGAATGTGGGCCGCTACAAGCAGCAGATTTCGCCAAGGCGTCTGCTTCCTCGTTCTGGCCTCTAGGTAAGCTTGGAACTGCGCCTGCAGAGCCGAAGTCCCTTCTGCCATTGCTTGCGGCACTTGGCCAAGTGGTTGAGGGTGTACTTGGGCTGCGACCGGTTGAGCTTGCAGCTGCACGTGAGGGGCCGGATGCGCTGCTGCAGTCGACGGCTGCCCGACGAAGTATATTGGCGCCTGCCGAATATTGGAGGATTGGTTGGCACTTGTGGATAGACTTGGGGTGGGACATACCCTACCGAATACTAGAGGATTGGTGCCGAAGTGACCTTGGATCGCCTTGCCGCCTCGTACTCTTGCTGCTATTCTTGCATTTGACGAAGCATGTCTCGGAGTCGTGTCATGTTCTGTCGCATGGCTTCCATGTCGGCTTCGGTTTGTGTCTAGAGGTCAGAGTTGACTTGGGCTTGCACAGCGGCGAGCGTAGTTCGGGCCGCTGCCGGCTGCGACGGAGCGGCTTGGGGCACCAGCAGCTGGCTTGTCGAAAGGATCTCCGCTCTGGTCTGGAGTGCCCTCGCCGCCGCAGCTGCCTTCGCCATGTCATCCACGTTCGGCACCTGCACAGAGGTGGCATGGGCCGAAGGCGGTAGTGAGGGCGCAGGTGCAGAAGCAGATGGCGCTCCTCCATCTTCGGGCGACGGGCGCCGAAGGCTCTGCTCCCTCTTCGGCGGCCATATCAGCCCCGGCGTCGCTTTCCTTTCGCCTTGTAACCTTCTCCTTCACGACCTTCTTCGGTGGCATTCGCTCTCAGTGGTTTTGCTAGGAGTTCCCCACGGTCGGCGCTAGCTGTTGTCGAAACGACAACCGCATACGTCGAAAGACGTGGTTACTCAATAGTGGTTGAAACAGAAGTAAAGTGTATTAATTTGAGAATTTTTACTTGGGATCCCCCCATTACATGGCCCTATAAGGACTATTTATAGCCCCTATTACAGGTTCTTACTACTAGGGTTTTGGTTATAAGGGGAATTTACATGGTTACCCTTATAAAAGGGACATTTACATGGGTATATAGTGTAATAGAGGTTTATGGACTCCTGATGGGCCGTTAGGCGATCGCCGGCCCAATGGCCTCTAGGCTTGATGGGCCGGAAAAGGCTTCTCCGGCCCTCGTGGGGGCGAGCTTGCTTTGGCGAAGTCGTCAACCTTCGGCATGTACTCTTCGCCCTGCATCCTTCGCCCAAGAGGCCTCCGGCTTGGCAGAGTACCCGCACGATCCTTCGCCTCTCGCGCCGTCCTTGTTCCATAGTCTTCGCCATGGGGGCGGGGCTTTGCCCCGACTAATTTTGACGTCTCGGGCTTGGCTCCCCACTCCTCACATAGCCTTCGGCAGATTTTGGTCGAAGGGCCTCATGCCATACCGCCAACACAAAGGATGATTCTTCAACCCAGACAGCATCCTGACAAGGCACTTCGGGAGTGGAGCAACCCGATGCCGTATTGTATTTATTAGTTAGACGATAGTGCATTCGACGTGGACAATACAATGTAAAAAAATATTGTACAATATTGACGATACTTTAAATGCAATATATGTCAGTATTAAATGATTATTAGTTCCTAATATTATTTATGCATTAATTAATTAATTAATTGCAAAAAAAAATATTAAAAAAAATTGGCGGGAAATTTCAAATTTTGGTGCCTATTTTCCTAGGCGGCTTAAACACATTAATGCAGGCGGCGCATGTTCCTCCTGTCTGCATATATCTTCCTAGGCGGACCGTTCGGCCGCTTGCGAAGATTGGTGATCTTCACAGGCGTTTGCTTGTAGGCGAAAGGCCTGTCCGCTTGGGAAGACGGTTTTAGCCTGTCTGCAAATACCTTTTTTTTCTAGTAGTGGTTGTTTATCATTTAATTATTAAAAACTTGAAATTAATAAATTTCGAGTTGCCCTTTATTTAAAATATCAATTATAATATTTTCATGATTTAATAACTCTAAAATCTTAATTTGTAAATGCCCAATTTTTTTTTTTTTGAGAAGCGCGATGGCTAGCGCTGTCGAACTGTTCTGTTAATTTTTATCAGAAGTAAACAAGTTCCTCAAGTTGATCTGTGCATCTCGGTAGGCAATAAGTTCCACTTGAGCTATCTATAAAGAATAATAATGAAAATCGTTAGGATTAATGACAACGCCAACATTACAGATCATTTTTAAGAGAGAACGTCACCACGTACGGTTTTTCTGACATTCTATTACATATATAGCTTGCTCAGTGCACCTTGCTGTTCTTCATGGCCTCGAGCTGGGACTTCCCTTTGAGCCCCCTCCTGCGGGAGAACCTGCGGTACTCGTCGAAGACGATGGGCGTGTAGAGCGCCGGCGACTGCGAGCTCACCAGCTGAGCTGCCGGGCCGATCGGAAGGTTCCCGCTAGGGTTGCAGAAGAAGGCGACGGTGAACCGCGCGTCATCGGAGCTCGCCACTGCGCGGTGCTCCACGCTCTTGTACTTGTCGTTGCTTATGATCTACAGTGGTGGTTAATTAGTTTCTGAAAAAGGAGGCCATATTTCAGAAGAGGGAGAGAGAAACTACCACTCCATACGAGTCATGGGCGAGTGGTTATTATTTTACAAAATACAAAGTAACGGTGATGATCAATTGTAAGTTGTTTATCTTTTTTTTCCTCTAAACTAAATATACTTGTGAAACTATTCATAGTCTACAATGCAATACTTTGACTGAATGTTATTCTAAACTAGTAAGGTAGCCCGCGCAGTTGCGTGGACATCTTATTTAAATTTTATTATTAGGATTTTAAATATTATGACTTTGTCTCTCGATGAAAGAATTTGAATGTTCTTTTATAACACATGATTGAAAAAAAAAGTATAAAGGCCGGAAACATGTTAGAAATGCATGTGTAAAACAACGAATAAACAAATTTCGGACAGTAAACGAATTTTGTACAGAGGACATAAATAACATGAATTTTAAAATTTGTTAACCCACATAGATGAAATCATCATCTTTCATTGCATAAATAAATTGCAGTTAACCAAACAACCTTTCCGTTAGCAGCTTGATTTTCTCGATCCCATGCGAAGGGAAAAAACATACGCATGCATCTTATTACTATTTTATTAATTTTATTGCTATAGAGATATACCGCAACTTTTTGGATATCAGCTAATCGTTATATGCACCGTGCATGGATACCTTGTAAGCAATATGATTTAGGGATTAGTAGATAGTGGTAGTGTGGATATACCTCGTAATAATTGATCAAGTATATTGTATACTACATATTAAGCGTTTTAGTAGCTTTCTAAAGAGCTTATCGGAGTGGCTACTCCCTTATCCTATATATCTATAAAGTTCATTCTCAATAAGTGCAGTTAATGCTAATTCTCTCTTCTCTCATGAAGCCACAACACCTCAATTGTTTTTAGCCCTTGGATGATTCATCAAGGGTGCAAATTGCATCTCTTCTCCCCAAAAGCCACACCATACAACTCAACCATTTATAACTTTTGAATAATTGATGAAGGTACAAAATATACAAGCACATGAAAGATAATCATATAGTAAATAAGATATTTTTTCTACTACTCATATCTACTACTTTATCACACAATTCTCCTACAGCAATGTGCGGGCCATCTAGTTCATAGTGATAACGTTTCTTGGACTGCTAAACGTGTTATATTTTATATTTTTCTGATAATTTCTATTATTTTCTCTAATTTATTATAGTACCATGTACAATAGTGTTCATAAGATGTTTAATTAAAATTTCCTATGTTTATTTTTGCATGGTATCGGTAGGATATGAATTTTTTCATCAGACTTACTATAATGTATTCGTGCAAATTCAAGGACGGTATAGTGATGCAATCAATAGGAATCCCAATCGCACACTTTTTTTACTATAATCCAAAGGAGGTTTAAATTTTAATTTTAAATCCCAACTATAGTTTTGAGCTGAGTTCAAACTTTTTAACAGTGTATTGCCTTTTGGATTTCACAAAGAAAACAAAACGAAAGAGAGGAACGTGGGACCTGCGTGGGGACATACTTATTTACACCTAGAAGTGGGGACTTTTAGTGATAAATTAAATTGGTAGTTTTTTAAGATAGATTCAATGCATGGATAAAACAATGGTCTAGCAAAATAAATGAAAACTAACGGTTAAATGCTGTTTTTCTTAGAATTTATGTGATTTATTATAGCGCCACGTGGTAGCTTAGAAGCGTTTATAGGGATGCTATGTGGCGGCTTAGAACCATTTATAGAGATGCTATGTGGTGGCTTAGTAGCATTTAGACGAAGTTTATTGGACTTTCAGTATATAATTAATAGATAGATGGTAGATTGTCAGTAATAAAACGAATTAAGCTGAGCATAAAACCAACATATATTTTTTATAAGTTAATACATGCAAGGATGCACGCATGCATGTAACCATCCATGAAGAGGACATCGACAGATGTAACCATGGTGCTTTTGCTCTCAACAACTTATGAAAAAAAAAGAACAGATGATGCATATACATGATTGAGAGGTGAGCAGATTGCCGGATTGGACGTTTTATATGTTAGCTGTTAATTTTTCTTTTCAATCTGTAACTGTTTTTTGGTTTTTTATCTTTTTTTTATTTTGGCCTTTTTTTATCACTTTCGGATGTATTTTCTCTCATATAGAAACGGTATATTAGAAGTGAGAGATTATATTTTAATGGATCTAATAATCTAATGGTCCAAAATAACGGATCCACAGTTTAAGTGTTAGATGTTTCACTTTTTCTTACAATTCTCTAATTTATTATCGTGTCACATGGCGATGTATGAGCGTTCGTAAAAAGCCACGTAACAACTTGAGAGTGTTCGTAGGAAGTTTAATAGACTTTTAGTATATAATAGATATATTGTTATATACGATGTTTAATGTAATGGATATTTATTATTTGCTAGCTAGAAATTAAGGAGGCCAAAGTGAGCAAGGAGAGATGACGTAAAATTATTTGCGACCACATGATAGTATATGTTATTATTTTTTGCTATTTGTAGGAGTATTTGTCAAACGATGTATTTCTTATATATCAAAACACATGGCTAATATAGATAAATAGAATATGTTGTAAAAAATTATATTTATTTAGTTATCTAATTATTTTTTACATAATAAATTTATTATCTAAAAAATTAGAAGATGGATGGGATGAAGAAAAGAGAGGTGGTGAGGGAGTAACGTACGTACACGTACATGTACGTGAGGAGTGGAGGCCCATGAGGGGAACGGGAGAGGATGGGATCTTGGTTTATTTTGTTTAATATAGATCTAATGGTGCAAAATTATGAGCCCGCTATATTAAGTGAAAATCAAGGGTGAGATGTTTTGCTTTTTTTTCTAGAATTTCTTGGATTTCTCTAATTTATTAGAGCGCCAAGTGACGGCTTAGGAGCATTTGTAGGAAGTTTAATGGACTTTTAGTATATAATAGATATAAAATATGTATATTCAAAGGGAGTACAAATTAAACAAGGTATTTTGTCCGGGAGCGTTCTGTGACTGTGTTTAGTTACACGTCAAAATTGGAAGTTTAAAGAAATTGGAACGATGTGACGGAAAAGTTGAAAATTTGATGTGACAGAAAGTGTGTGTAGAAAAGTTTGATGTGACGGAAAAGTTGGAAGTTTGAAGGAAAAAAAGTTAGGATGTAAACATGGCCTGCTATATAATACTGGTGGACCGACGTTGACATTTCCTTCTCGATGAACTAATTAATTATGACAGATTTAACACTTGTCACTTGCTCAATCTTAAACTAGGGAAGAACATAAAATATTTGAAATGCAACATATGCAATTTTTCGTCTGGTATATATATTTTCAAACATACACCAAAATTAATACATACTCCTACTTTATAAAGGTGCAAATACCGGAGCTAGCAAAAGGTCAAAAACAAAACGATTTTAATCACCTGAATCTGGTCGCCAACGTTGACTAGAAATGCATTGGGGATCGGCTGCACCGTGTACCACGTGTCCCCCTTTAGCACCTGCGTCCCCTTCACACGGTCGTCGGCGAGAAGCACGGCGATGCCGCCGGCGTCGGAGTGGGAGGAGATGCCCAGCGTTAGCTCCGGCTGGGGGCACTTGGGGTAGTAGTTCACTCGCATGCACGCCGAGATGCCGTCGTCGCTGCCGAAGGCCGCGTGGAGTTGGTTCTCACCTAATCCCAAGCTCAGCGACATGGCTTTGAGTAGCACTTCACAGAGATTCATCAGATCACGCCCGTAATCCTCCGTGATCTCCCTGCAACAAAAAATATAGATGAGGATAATTAGGATATGATTAGTCTATTTGTGTTTTGTCTTGATCGAAGAAAACATTTTAGTTGGTGACACTATGGAACTGTTTGGAGGACTTCACAAGTTAACCACGTAAACCAAAATCTACTTGAGTAATTAATCTACATATATAAGGTATCTATTTATCGATTTATCTGTCTATGTATATGCTTATCTCTAGTTATATACATTCCCTCTGTTTTTAATAGATAACGCTGTTAACTTTGAGATACACATTTGGTCATTCGTTCTTATCTGAAAAATCTATGCAACGACATACGATATAAAACATGTTTAAATTACTTTTAGTCAATAACATATTTTGTGCATACAATCTTGTCGTGTACACACAAAATAAAACAACTAGATGATACAATAAATGATAATTATGTAAAGATTTTTAATAAGACGAATCACCAAACGTGTGTCCAAAATTTAACGATGTTATCTATTAAAAATATAGAGGAAGTATATATAGTTGGACACAATCAAAAAATTTACAATTTGCCTGGAAAGATCTAACCATTAATTTGCATGTATCACAATATTTATTATAACTATAGATGATATTAATAATTTGTGTTAAATAAAATATAACATTGAAAACCCAGTTTTTGTTTTTTTACTTTCAAGCTATACAAGCGAGACTCTATACTTCTTTTTATTAATAGTAGATTTATGAACATATATTCTAAATTTATTCATTCTGAATTTTAATATCCTTTAACAAAGAAAAAATATACAATGGCCCATGTACATACGTACAGATTGACGACTTGTTTAATTACAAAATCTCGCCAAATTAAGTTGAGGTTTCAAATATTTTTGATAAGAAATATGCTCACACAAAGAACTAATTTAATCAGATATCAACGAGATGAGTAGAAAATGCTGAAGAATTTAACCAGACGTATGTACCTTAGGTCATGCGGTGATTTTGGCCACTTGTTACGACGCTTGATCTCCCTCGGCAAAATGTTGAGGAAATAGTAGTCACCCCAGTCAAGGAGAGCTCCCTTCTCGACTCCGGCGCGGCTGCCGTACCCTTCCGGCGCCGACGGCGAGTTGGAGCACGCCTTCTTCTCCTCCATCTCTAGGGCAAAGAACCTCCTCCACGCGCCTCTCATCCTCTCCACGGTGCTTGCCTGCACGCCATGGTTGACAACCTGGAAGAAGCCATGCTTCGAGCATGCCTCGGCTAGGTTCTTCAGCTGCTCGGCAGCAGCGCAAGCGGCGGCGGCGCCGTCGAGGTCGAGGAACGCGGCGACGTCGACGGTGGGGACGTCGAGGCTTGGCGCGGGGAGAACCGGGCGATCCTGTGGCGGCTTGATGTATTGCGGCGGCACGGCGGAGACGCCGGCTTCCGACAAGGATTGCACCGGGACGACGGGCTCCGGCCAGGCGTCGGGCAAGCTGCAGCTTGCCGTGGTGTCCATGGTGGATAGCTATATATGTTTCTGTGATTCTTGAAGGATTAATTGCTGGAGTTGTGGAAGATGGTGATGGTGATGGGAGCAGGTCATTATATAGATAGATGCTGCAAGGAATATGCCTGCAAGTACAATGTGGGATGAGTAATAGTGGCATGTGATAATAATCAGTTAATAATGCTTACTCTGCTGACACCTAATTGTTGGACTTATTAATCAATTGCTCCTGAAGTAGTGAAAAGCCTCTTCTCCTCCAATGCTGATCACATGCCCTAATATACTCACTATTGTCAACTTCAATCCGTGATTCCCGCGCGAACAGTTGCATTTCGTAATTTATATTCTTTTTGTCTTTATTGGTTATAGAGGCGACAAGGAACACTTTCTGTCGTGACATGTGTGGGTTTGAACACTTCAACTCATATGATGATTACGTGCTCATTAATACAGACGTAGCCAGGTTAAAAAAAATGACCGTAAAAATATGCTATAGGACCATATATAAATTAAAGTCCTCTAGTTATTTCTATTTATGACTTTAGTTATTTGTATTCATGACCTTAATATGTTAGCTTCTTATGCATGTGTGAATTCATATGAACAACCATGGCCCAAAAAGGTTAAGATATTCATTATGAATGTATCGTACTATGTTAAGTTGCAGCTTTAATTTATATTTGTAAATACATTATTGTGATTAGGATATGGCGCCAACAATATTTGACAATGTTCTCACAATATGGAAACATCTGAATAACTAATCATCAATATAATTTATCCTAACCATACATCAAAATAAACAAAGAAAAAGTAAAAATATTGTAAATAGTGTTTAATTTGATTCTTTTAATGTTTATTTCTTTTCATCTTAGCTCAAGTCTTCTAATATTAAATATTGTTTAGCTACTAAACATCACATTTTTTTATTCATTATTTTTATAGTGTATACATTTTTCAGTCATTAATGTATATACAACCACCTCACAGCAATGCGCAGGAATCATCTAGTTTATATATATCAAGTTTGTGCCCCCACCTTAAAATCTAGGAGCAACCCTCATTAAAATCATCACTCAGAACTCATTTGGACTCTGTTTTCGATACTCTACACATATGTATGGAAAGCTAACGATGTCATTTTTCCAATGGGCCTAGTCTCACATCGAAATTCCATTTGAGTCCACATGAATAGTCGAAATAGGAATAATTAACTATTTGCCACTCTTACGAGTGGTTCTAAAGGACTTGCCATTGGGCCCACATGTCATAGACACATGAGGGCCCACATGTCATAGACAGCGAGTGGCAAATCCTTAATTGATACATCTTAAAAGTGGCAAATAATTAAATGTCCCGTCGAAATAAGTTGGCATCCAGAATTTGTTCAAGTGGTGCATCATAGTTTTTGGGGTCGTTAGCCTGTGTATTGTGTTGGAGTCCATTGCTGACGCGTACAAGGGTCCTTGGTTGACTCTATAACCTATTTATTCAATAACCATCATCGAAATAGGGGTTGATTTTTCTTAGATTATTCTGCCATTGTAGTTTCGCCGCTAGTCCGGTCTGTGGAACCCCAATTTGTGACCTTCATCGAATATTCACAATATATTAAGATTACATCTTCCACTCTTTTGCTTGTGTTCTCAATTCGCTTGGAGGAGATAGCCTTATCAGCGAGGTCAACCGTGTCTCGGCTCGGGTGATAACCAACGAAGAGTGGTGTAGTGACTGTGAGGGGTTCGATCATTCTGATTAGATCCTCTGGATCATTAATGTTGGATCTTTACAATTGACCTATCTAGTACCTATCGGAAGATCGGGACCTAGTTCCTCATCAAGTACCAAGTTATCCGGGTTTGATGAGATGTAGTACCTCCATCTTAAAATATAGCAATTTTTAGCTATTATGTGGACAAGGTCAGATGCTATATTTTGAGATGGAAGTAGCTAGTACATTTTTATAGTTGAGCATGTTTTTTCATTTGAGATTGTTTACATCTCCGACTATGCATTATAATTTCTTAGATTATGTGGATAAACAAATTTTTAGAAATTTACAAACCGATGTAGACATGCTCTGTACAAAAGTTATAATGTTTGACGAGATTAAATCTTTATGGTTGATGATTTTTTCAGTTGAGTTGAGTTAGTATGGAACCCAAAGACCTAACATGCATATTTTGTTCAAGTGAGAAGTGCATTCTAAGTGACATAGTAAGAGGCAATAGATGAAAAGAAAATAATTGGGTGTAAATCCAACGTTTCGTGCAGAAGCATATTTCGTGCGAAAAAATGGGTGAGTTGTGAAAATACGAAATATATTTTTGCACCTACAGAAATCAAAAGGGGGACGACAGTAAAATTCATTTGCAGAGACGATTGTTGTAAGCCGACTGTCTATGGTAATGAACTACAACCGCCCTCTCTCTGTTTTTTACTGTATGTAGAAATGCAACATTTTCGGTGGTGACCGCCAGAGGTTGTTAGCTAAACATTCATGTAAATGAAATTTTAACAGCCTATGAAACCATATAAGACATATGTAAATTTTATGAACAATGTTACTATCACTTTATCGGATAAAGATATGACCAAAATAAAAGTTATAGATATTGATGAGTTATACAACTTTGATGTTGATGACTTTTTCAGTTGAGATCATTTACTATTTGAAAATGTTATTTGAAGTTGTCATAATTTGAAATTCAAATTCAAATTATTGAAACAGAGTCATATAGCAAAATGACCAAAACAAAAGTTGTAGATATTGATGATTTATACAACTTTGTTGTTGATGACTTTTTCAATTGAAATCATTTAGTATTTAAAAATGTTGTTTGAAGTTGTTATAATTTTAAATTCAAATATTATATAGGTCAATCAAACTCAGATGGAGAAATAACCAAAATAAAATTGGTAGATCTTAATAAGTTATACAACTTTGTTTTTCATAACTTTTTCACATAACCTCGTTTAGTATGATTTTTGTGTGTTAATCCACAATGGTATAATAAAATAAAAAGAAAGAAAGGTTAAACAGAGATGGAATGAAACCAGGCCTATTACGGGCCAGCCCTTTTACTCCTCCCTCGCCGAGAAGTCCATTTTGCCTCCCTCCTTTCAATTAATTTCAAAATATTAAAACTTCGAATCGAATTTTATCATACTAAATGAACTTACGTGAAGAAGTTATCAACAACAAAGTTGTATAACTTATTGAGATCTACCTATTTTATTTTTTTTATTTCTCCCTCTGAGTTTGATTGACCTATATAAAATTTGAATTTCAAATTAGAGTAAATTTCACAAAACTACAGGTATTTTGACCAAATTATCACAAAACTACAGATTTAAGGAGTTGTATCACAAAACTACATATTTAGCACTAAATTTATCACAAAACTACAGATTTTAGATTAAGTATCATAAAAATGCATATTTAATATTGAACTTATCACAAAACTACAACTTTTGGAGTTTAAATCCCTAGCACCATTGTTATAGTGGAGCTATCAACATCATTACTTTGTGATTAAATTGATTCTAAACATGTAGTTTTGTGATAATTTAGTTACTAAATATGTAGTTTTGTGATACTTCATCTTAAATGTGTAGTTTTGTGACAACTTTGGTGTTAAATGTGTAGTTTTGTGATACACCGAGTTAAATCTGTAGTTTTGTGATAATTTGGTCATAGTATCAGTAGTTTTGTGAAATTTACTCAAGAGTTTCAAATAATGACAACTTCAAATAATATTTTTAAATACTAAATGGTTTCAACTGAAAAAGTCATCAACAACAAAGTTGTATAACTCATCAATATCTACAACTTTTGTTTTGGTCATTTTGCTATATGACTTTGTTTCAATAATTTGAATTTGAATTTCAAATTATGACAACTGCAAACAACATTTTCAAACACTAAATGATTTCGACTGAAAAAGTCATCAACAACAAAGTTGTATAACTCATCAATATCTATAACTTTTATTCTGGTCATTTCATCATCCGATAAAGTAATAGTAACATTGTTCACGAAATTTACATTTCTCTCTTATTATAGTTTATAAACTATATAAGAGATATGTACATTTTGTTAACATTGTTACAAATCGCTTTATCGGATGAAGAAATGACCCAAATAAAAGTTATTGATCTTGATGAGTTATACCACTTTGTTATTGATGTCTTTTTTAGTTGAAATCCTTTAGTACTTGTAAATGTTGTTTGAAGTTGTCATAATTTGAAATTCAAATTCATACTGCCAAACAAAGTCATATAGAAAAATGATCAAAATAAAAGTTGTAGATCTTGGTATGTTATACAACTTTGCTGATGATATTTTTTTTTCATTTGTATCATTTACTACCCAAAAAATTATTTGAATTTATTATATTTTAAAGTTTAAATTTTATATAGTTCAATCAAACTCAGATCAAGAAATGACCAAAAGAAAAATGGTAGATCTAAATGAGTTATGCAACTTTTTTTTACAACTTTTTCATACGAGTTGATTTAGTGCCATAAAAATCGATTCGAAATTTCAAATGAAAATTTTCCCTCCTCACCACTTCAAAATATTTCATCTTTCCTCCTCCTCTCTCTCTCCCCACTGATATTTTCCGTTTCTCCTCACTCTTTCTCTTCTTCTCTCTCACTCTTTCTCTCCTCTCCCTCTCTTTCTCTTCCTCTCTCGGCGCCGAGCATGAGTGCCGTCCGGCGGCAGCTGCTGGCGCGTGCCGTGTCGTCCCCGTCGCTCAGGCTGCCCCCTCCGCAGCGGCACCGACCCCGATGATGAGGAGGAGGCGCCGACCCCGACGATAACAATGAGTGGGTGGCGACGACAACAAGTGGGCGATGACGACGATGACGCGGGTGGTGGCGGCGGCACCGACCCCGATGACAATGACGAGTGGGCGGTGACGCGGGCCTCGTCCTGCCCGGATCCAGCGGCGGCGGGCCTCGTCCCGCCCGGATCCGGAGGCGGGAGTGGGTGGCAGGAGCGGGGGCGGCCAGCGGTGGTGCAGCGGGTCCGGCTCGGGCGCAGCGATGACGACCTCCCCGCGGCGACGACGACCTCAGCGATGACGACGGCGGCGGGCAGCGGCGGCGAGCTCGGGTGCCGGCTG